CATTTTGCATCGACACATGTCTGTTATTGACGACTGTATGTTGATCTCTTTATATATTCTCTTTTTAATTGTTTGATTTTTTGTCTCATATAGTCAATGGGTATTCAGTGAAATAGTAACCCACAAACACAAGGCATCAAAAGGTCGGCATACGGTCTTCAGCCATAGACAGGACTGGTGTATGCACAATATATTCTTGCTCGAAATATACAAAATAAACTCTGGGATGACAGAGATCTGCTATCAACATCGAATTAACTCTGGTATGACATAGATCTTCTATCAACATCTAATTAACTCTGGGATGACAAATATCTGTTATCAACATCGAATTAACCCTGGGATGACAGAAATCTGCTATCAACATCGAATTCTCAATACATTATGATTTTACGAAAGGCAATCACTAATGATGTTCCTGACATGGGACAGGCGAATGAACATGTCACGGGGTAAATATCAAAGATTCGGTACGAATGAGACAACTATCCACCAGAGTTCAAATGACGAAGATATAAGCAGTTATAGGTTACCGTACGGCTTTCTTCAATGAGAATAACCTAAACCGTAATGTCAGCTATAAAATTACCTCACATGAAAAATAAGAAAATATTCACACGAGAAAAATATCGGCTTGAACCAACAACAGCAACCGAGTTGCACGCTCCTGACTTGGTGCATGCACATAACGAATGTGGCAGGGTTAGACATGTAAGCGCTCAATTTCCCCCTAACTTTGGACAGTTGTGTAACAACACAACGTAAAAACAAACTGTTAAAGGCTTCATTCAGTTTGATCGGTGCGAAGTACAAAAAACAAGTAACATAAAAACAATAGAAACAACAGACAGACATAAGACTACTTGCAGTTACTGACAGCTAGTTCAAAGTAAGCTTGTTTTTGAAATACAAAAGTTATATTCCGATTTCCTTATTACTTTATAATGAAGACAACCTTTTATTTTAATCTGAACACTGCAATATGGTATGATCATTAACTATTATCAACTTAATAATCATGGTGTATACTCGAAACAAAATTCTAAGCCAAAACTATCTTGTAAACTGCATTTTACTGTAATAATAGTTACATTTGTAAAGGAGATATAAGTCTCAAGTTCTTAGGGAAAGAGAGGGAGGGGGAGGGGTAAAATAAACTTGTGTTTTAAGGGCCAAAACTAGAACGTGTCCGACCGCTATGGTATTTAGACTTGGTGCATTGTAAATCTCATACATTAATATGGTTCCAAACTTTGAACACATTTTTCTTGATTATTTGTTATTCTGTGATGTTTCTTTAATTTACCCCAAATGGGAATAGATAATATTACTTTACATTATTTCAATGCTTGTTAAATGACTGTTTGTCGTCAAGGAGTGTTCCACAAATTCTAATAATCGATGTAATCAGGATATATCTGTTTAATTAAAGATTTAAATATTTCAAGAAATACTGTGTGGAATAAAATCGTCCATAAGGAAAAACAGTAAACGAGGTCTTGCGAGACGATACAAACCGCAGGCATTTGTAATATTGACAAGTAGGTGCTCTTTGAGTTACAGGGGTAACAAAAGTTCTTCTAATGAAATAAGAGAGAACAAGGAGCACGACCCCACACGGACGCTAGGCCATAACCTGAATAAAGCTTCCCCGGTATTCGGAGGATGAAATAATTCAAAAGTAGTACAAGTAATGACCAGCCGCTCTGGTAAACAAGGGAAAACTATTGATAAATAAAAAAACCAACTTCGCTGTGGTACCACAGGACAATATAGCATATGGTCTAACGTAGAATTATAGGGTCATGACCCCCTTTCCTCTTGCCAGATCCCGCCAAAAGGAGTAGACACTCTATACACTATAATCCCAAATAAAGCAAGGTTACTACAAGGTACTGAAATACAACAAAGCCGATTAACTAGGAAGTTCTCGACGACCAGAATTTGCAAACAACTCTACTGTTAAGCTCCTTGTACATTGTTTAAGAAAGCACCATTACCTACGTCTGAAGAGTGCACTCTATAGTTCCTGTACAAATTCCTTTCTTGAGCTGTTATATTAGATGGCAAATTACAAGGCTATGATTTATTTCGTCTTTGAATATATTACGAACAGCTAAAGTAACTTTTTATGAGTCGAATTGATGGCCACCTGATTATCTGCCAAGTGCCAATATCTACAGGGGAAAATGTCACTACAAACTGAGGAGAGATTTGGCACTAACACGTATAAAAGAATAATATCCAACTTTTTTGCTTTATAAGCTTCTTTCCTTTGATTAAACCCAAATCGTTTGAACCAAAATGTATAATCAAGATTGCAGGAAGCGAATAATATCTTAGAATTATTTTTTTTTCCATTCTATGACTTGCTGACCATTCCAAAGAAAAAAATAACCTTTGGACTGTAATCCAAGTTTTGACACCCCCCCCCCCCCCCCCCCCCTTAATCTTGGGCCGCCCAAAAAAACAATAACAAAAACATGACAGGGTTCTACAATAACAGAAAATGTAAAAAGTTCAGTTTATATATATATATCTTCCCAGCTCATATCTATTATAACAATCTTCCAAGTACGAATGTAGCTCGTGAATGCACCAGACAATCACTATCCCCATTTTGATTTCTGTATCCGAAACCCTCATTCTGTTAAATAGCAACGACGACTGGAAAAATTAAAAAAAACGTGATGTCCCTAAAAAAAAACCATCTGACTCAACTCTAGAGGCCGTTAGGAGGACCGTCCGCTTTAATTTTGCTAGGATCGAAATCCGAGACCTGACAATCTTAATAATTCAAGGAGGGGCAAAAATTGTTGCTAATGACTACAGACGATGACTAATTGACGTTTCCTGTGACTACACACAAAACCCACAACTCCTGATCTATGACACCCCAGGGAGATATTGGATAGCGCTCTTTTTTGAGTCGGTTCTGTTCATCATACACCGCCCAACCATTATAAGTACCTCTAGAAGCCGCCAATCGAATGCTTTGCATATCTTTTAAATACTCTTTGGCTTTCGACTCCGACGCCAAATCTTTAGCAGATTTTAACAATACTCCTAAATGAATAAACTCACCACGCCAAACGTTTTCCCAATCTCTCCCGGGATATGAGCCCCAATTGGATCAAATATTCTAAGGATGCTTTCTGGAACGTGACTAACTAGATATATTTTCCCACAGTCCATGTTCGAGACTGTATTTGGCAACTCTAACCTCTTATACTTTGGTTAAAGGGGGGATGGGGGACGGTGAATTTTTATCCCCTGGATGTGTATACATACCATTATTTTACTGAATCAGCGGGACCATCTTGTCTTGAGTAACTATTCTTTTATCGCTATCAACCGCTCTACTGCGATTCACTGTGGTGACGTCTTGGAATTCCGTGCGCTGAGAATCTGATCTCAACATCGAATCTCGCAATGGCACCTGTCCAGTAATGGTATTAGTCATTGGGTCGAACTCCACATGACGTCTCTGCTTGTATTTAAGCTACTTTGGGTAGAAGAAGTATCAAACACATCAATTTTCTGATTACCACGAGGTGCCACGAGTCTTGTTGAACAAGCTTCGTGATCGCAATTTAGAAAATTCTTAAAGTAAAGTAAGAAAGTGACGTTACAAAGCAAAAATCGTTACAGACACGGTCCTTGTGTAAAAATGTTTAGATTGCCTATAATTGCTTACATCAACTTCATTTGAACTTTGGTGGATAGTTTTCTCATTGGCAGTCTTACCACATCTCCTTATTTGTATATAAGTTGATAAAAAACTCATTGTGTTATATAGGTATCCATATAAAATACAGAGATGCAGAATAATTGCAAATTAGACAACTATCCACAAGAGTTCAAATGACATTCTATAGATATAAGCAACTATATGTCTTCGGTCGGGCTGCAACCATGAGTAAAACTCATGCCGTAAAGTCAGATAAATGACAAAATGTGAAACAATTCAAACGGAAAAAGTAACGGTCTAATTTGTGGCAAAACAATAAACAAAAGACAAATATGACAGACAGCAACCAACAACAATAATCAGCCTCCGAATTCAATGAGAAAGACGATCAGTCTCTATATCATGCACAGCAGCCAAAATTTGTAAACATACATCTCCAACATACAACACAACTGACTTAAAAATTCAAAAAACATATAAATAAATTTATCAAAGATGCCAACAAAAACGTTGCTGTAGTTGATGGTAAAGGAGTAAATTCGGTAAGGGCCATATTTGGACCCGATTATAAAGTTCAATGTTACAAGATAAAAAATGTTTTAAGTTGACTTGAAGACATATGAGAAAGTTAAATAGAACTATTTGTGTCAAAGTTTTATTCTAAAGCGTTGTTTTTCACATCCCAAATAGGTCAAGATAAGAGATTTTGGCGAAATTTGACAAAATCGGCCGTTTTTCAACCAAACTTAGGACTAGGAAACATAGAGCGCAAGCGTCGACAAAGTAAATATTCAAGTTACAAACATTATTTTAAAAGATCTTTTTTGTCGACGTATGCGCTCTATGTTTCCTGTCCAATAATCAATGGAAATTTACCCATTTTCATTGATTTTTTCAAGGAAAATCAAAATGAGTACTATTTGTGACGTCATGAATAAAACGCAGGTACGTTAATTTTCAACAAAAGGCTTATTTCCTGTCTAGTCACTGTATTAGCTATGATTCATTGTGATATTGGTCAATAAATCCTAATTTGAAATTTTAGCTAAAAATAAGGGCCATTTTAGGGCCTTATCGAACCTACTCCTTTTACAAAGACGCCAACAATTTTTTTATCGTTGTTGATGGTAGATTGACAAAGACGCTGATTAAGAAGGCCTTCAGTAGCATGAATTATCTTTTTTATATTGAATTTGATTTTCACACTCTCAGGTTCAAAATTAATATTCCACGAAAATAGTCATGTCTAATGATTAGGTGAAGATTTATATAACACATTTATTGAATAGATAAAACATACAAACAAAATATATACCATATGTTAACATACCCAGGAAATAGATTGCATCTTATTTATCACAGAATAAAAAAAAATAACAAAGTAACCTCTTTTGGATGGATAAGTGAGGAGTCCTGAAAATGATTGGAATTCTATTTAAAGTATTTCATACTTCCGACACTGGAGATAACGGAGAGTTAGATTCGTCTTTTGATGACCTTGAACTTTTCAACAAACGTAATTCGCAATCAGAAGAAGACACTATGCTATCGACTGACATAACTGATACTTTTGTAGTAATGGACGAATCAGAGGAACAGTTACGAACTACTTTATCTTCACGATTGTTTTGTATCAAGTCAATAGATTCCTGTGAAATTAGGTTGTCACAATTTAAGTTTGAAACAGTTACGTCATTAAGTTGGTCAGACGTAGTATCCATAGCACCATTTATTATACCATTACCCGGAGGTATAGTGGTTTTGTTATTAATTTGAACATCCTCTTTTTTCACAAGTGAATTGTGTTTGGCTTCTAACTCATGATTCGACTGTTCCACAGTATGTTTGGTAAAATGTGAGTTTTCTTCGGCTTTTATGGTATGGTTTGCCTCTTCCAAATTAGATCTAACAGGACGTTGCTCTTTCACTGTCTTTATCTTCGTGGAGGTACGTGTACCTTTTGACAACACTGATTCTAATCTGTAAATAAACATCAACAGTTATCCCCAAGTCCAAACGTTCAGAATGCCATAAAACCTTAAAATGTCCAGTGTTTAACATTCACTAGCTTTCTGTTCATTTTAATCATTTACTCGAAACATGCATACTCAAGTTATCTGGCAAAAAAACAAAATTCTGACTATTTTTCGGCATTTTTATACAAAGAGGCATAACTCTGAAAACGTTACTAATGAAATCTGACCTATATCGAAGGAGATTGTAAAACTCTCATTTTATTTCTGGAAACACTTGACCCGTAAAAAGTTTTACATTATTAGCACATAAAAGCAGCATCAAGTTACATGCATCTTGACCCGTAAAAGGTTTTACAGTATTAGCACATAAAAACAGCTTCAAGTTATTTGTATCTTCACAAAAAGCTAATAAAATAAAATTATTGAACATCTCTTCCGATCTTTGATTGTTAGAGCAAAAACCGACTTAAAAAGGTATATCTAATTTCTCAACTGGGGTGGGGGTTGACGCCGGCAAACATGTTTAACCCCGCCTCTTTTTGTATGTGTCTATCCCAAGTCAAAAGCCTGTAATTCAGTGGTTATCGTTTGTTGCTGTATATCATATTTGTTTTTCCTTTGTTGTTGTGTACATAAATCAGGCCGTTAGTTTACTCTTTTTAATAATTTTTAAGTTGTAATTTTGGGGCCTTTTATAACTTGCTGTGTGATATGTGTTTTCTCATTGTTGAAGGCCGTACTATGACCTATGTAACTTTTGACATCATCTGGTCGATGGTAAAGATTTTCTCATTGTCAATCATACCACATCTTCAATTTTTAGATTTTTGTCTTTCCTACATTTCATTCATCAGGATTTTAAAAAAAGACTTTATTTTTCTTTGTGGTGCTTTGTAGACCAATATTTTGTCTGCTCATCGTTTTTCATTTAAGCAATAGACAGGTATGTAAAAATAAGAAGATGTGGTATGAGTGCAAATGAGACAACTCTTCATCCAAATGGTCTGTTCATCTTCGAATTATGACTTTGTTTGTCTTCTTGTATCTACTGCATTTTCTTCAGAGAAAACTATACTGTAAGTGTTTAGAATAAGAAGATGTTGCATAATTGCCAATGAAACAGCTACCCAACAGAGACCAATGGACGAGATTGTAAACAACCAAAGGTCACCGTACGATATGCATGCATTACCTATTTAGAGATTTTTACATAAATTTGTATTTGACCGAAGTTAAGGTCTATTTTATGTTGGGCAGCGGTTACAAAACGATTATAATTTAGGCAAAATATGAGTGAGAACATCGTTTTTCCTACCACTTTTCCATCGACATGTTATTCCACTACAACGTATATGTATTAACAACAGAGTCGATACAGATATTATATTGGAAATAAAACGTATTTGGCTTAACAACTGATAGACAAGGAAATCTTTTTTTGTTACAAACTATATGAAGAGGGCAAGATATATCCCAAAACATATTTTCACCATAGTTTTTAACATTTTCTGTACATATTTTTAATGAATAATGTTAAATAATAATCATCTAAAATGATAGAAAGCTTTCAAACTTACCCGTGGTTATTTGCACTGAGAGCATGAAAGAAAAATAATTGGAATACATAGATGATGTGTGATAAAATTGTTACTTTTCGCAATAATGCGCTATGTCTGTACATAACGATAATATACACATATCAACAACTTAAAACTTGTTATATTTTTTTTTATATATGACTGCTACATTGAAGGTAATATAGAAAAATTCTGAAGAATTTATACAGAGGATACCTTGCTATATTTGAGTCATCTGAGTGAAAATACTGTTAATGTAAGTGCTGCATAAAGCGCATTAATCTAATTTTTAGCATTTCTACAAGTTCTTCAGTTGGCGCTAAAAATGGCCAGTATAACTATGGATGATTTTCTTTTAATTTTTATTACGATATTACAGTGTTGACATCTTTTCCTAAACTGATTTTCATTCTTATTGTGTGTTGTGCTATGAATCATTTGCTAATCAAATGATTGGTATGAAATAAGTGTAAATTTACTGCCATATCACAAATTTTAAATTAAATTAGGAGAACAACGAAAGAGACGGAGGATACCAAGGAGACACTCATAAGTCGAAGAAAATTAACTATGTCATGGCGGAAATCGACAAACAAGTCCATCAAACACAACATAGAAAACTAAAGACTGAGCAACACGAACATCACCAAAAAACCAGGGGTGAACTAAGGTGCTGCAGAAGGGTTAGCAGTTCCTGCTCCACACGTGAACTCTTCGTCAAAACTATCCGATAAATTAAATAAATCTACAAATGTTTATTTCTGTATAAGTATCAAAGAACTACCTGTCCAAGGGAGGCGGCTCTGGAAGAGGTTTGTTAAAGTCATCTTTCCCTATCAACCAAAATGTCTTGGCCAGTCCTTTTCCCTGAAACACATTGATATGTAGTAGAAAAACCCTTGCATTTTATATCATGATTTATCAAATTGATTTATATGTTGACTAATATTTGCAAAGTAAAGAGAGACTCAGGTTCCAAATGATGCATAAAGCCTCCATTGAATTTTTTGGGAAACTTTGTAAATAAACACATTGTTAAATTAATAATAATTAAAAGCAATACAAGGCACATGAAAATCTCATCTAATAGATCTTCTTCAAAAGCGATTAATGACATCTATAAAATATTGTAGGAAAAGAATCTTATGTAATAAGGCGTCATCTTTTTGGAAGTATATCGAGAACTTTTTGTTATTTTCACCGGAATAATTGAGAAAATGTTATAAAATGTCAGTTATTTGTAAAATATCTTTAAAGTATCAAGTCAATTTTTGTACGATAACGTGATGTGTGAATCGTTTTTACTTATAAAGTTCCGGGGTATTGTCTTTTTATGTAATGTTATTGAGAAGATATGTCAATGAGACGACAAGGCATGAGTACAAGGTACTAATTAAAGAACACATCTTGGGTCAAAATAAAGTTGCGATAATAAACGTGTTTATTTGTAGTAAAGCAAGCTCTTCTTTGCACATATTCGAAACAATTTGAATAAATTCATAATGATAAACTATTACTAAAAAAAACCTCGAACAAGCACAAAATTCCATCATACCAAAATCTATGAAATAAAATGGACAACCAATGAACAGATTAATAACTTCGGACAGTTATGGATTTTCCCTTTTTTATTTTACTTGAAAGCTTGTTATAGAAAGCTCTTTATTTCAGGCAATAACGCTCACGAGTTGAAAAAGTATACAGAACCAATTGATAAAATATTTCCCTGTTGTAAAAGTATTTGGTACCGCTACAATATTTCGTTGATTGTAAGCTGCCACGTCAATGTAAGGCGTGCATATTGAACCTTGGAGTCAAAAAATAAAGCAACAACACATAAAAAAGTAAAAAGAAGGCCTTCATAGGCACAATTTATGTTCCTTTGGAGTCCAACCAAAGTTGAGGAAATAAATATTCCTTTACTCTACTGATCACCAAAATCCGTAATCGTCAATACAATCAACTTTATATTGCTTGGTCTACTAAAGGTAACCGTAACCTTTTTCAAAATTACTAATATTTATTTTATCCGTAATCAAAACAGGTGGTGTGAATACGAACTTTCAAATCTTGGGTGGTCTTGACAAGATGTGGAATCTTGAATTATCCTAAAATCTATAAAAGTAAAAGCAATGCCATGTTTTTCCTTTATACAGTAGTACAAAACATTTAACTTGTCCATGTTTTACAAAGGGAAGAACCCACTCTTACCTCAAGGCAATATGAAACTACTACTTAAACTATGTTTTACACTTTTAAATATTTAGATGATATTTTGGCTCTCAATAATGACCACTTCGGTATGTACACGAAAGAGATTTATCATATTGAACCGACTTTAAATAAAGCTAATACTAACACTGAACACTGTCCTTTCCTGGATAGTGGTATTTATATCTCAACTGAAAAATTTATACAAAAATGTACGACTTTTCATTTCCTACTGTTAATTATCCGGTTTTAGATGATGACGTTCCCTTGGTACCATCGTATGGTGTTTATATATCTCAACTCGTGTATGTAACAACATATAGTAATTGATTTTAACGAAAGACATTCTGTATTACTGAAAAATCATTACACCAGTGTTTTCTATATCACGAACTTGTCAAAACTTTTACCAAATTTTATCATTGGTACAAGGACATCATTCGTAAATATAAATTAACGTGAATACATCTCATACGTTGAGGTATTTCACATCCCATCTTTTATTTTAATATTGTATACAAAGCACAAAAAAGTCGTCATTCACCTCAAAAGCTAACGAAACCTTTTAACAGACTAATTCACACGGGATATGGTTACGATACTTTTGTCAAGTGATTAAAGGTGGCATTTATTAGATTGATATTGATTCACTCATAGGGTCTTTGCATCGGAAATAAAAACATTTATTCTAAAACCAGTTGTTGGCATGATACGGGTTATGATCTTCTCGTATATTTTATGATGGCATGATACTAAACCCCTAACAGAAGGGATTGTGATTGATTTGCATATGATAAAGACATAATCTTTCAATTTAATTGAGGTCTGGAGCTGGCATGTCAGTAACTGCTAGTGTCCTTTGTTAATTTATATTGATCATTATCAGTTTGCCTAGTTTTTTCTGTTACTTATTCTAACATCCGACGCGGTCTTCTTTTTAACTGCGTTTTACTCGTTTTACTATTTGTGTTTGTTTATTCTACATTGGCAAGAGGTATATGGGGAGGGTTGAGATCTCACAAAACATGTTTAACCCCCGCAATTTTTGCGCCGGTCCCAAGTCAGGAACCTTTAGCTTTGTTAGTCAAGTGTGTTTTTTTTTAATTTTGGTTCATTTGTATGTTTCAGAGTTTAGTGTGGCGTTCATTAGGCTGAAATAGTATATATTATTGTTTAGGGTCCAGCTGAAGCCCGCCTCAATATGTCGAATTTTACCGCTGCGTTGAAGACCTATTGGTGGCCTTGACGTATTTCTACTCATTGGTCGGGTTGTTGTCTCATTAATTAAAACAAATTTGACAAACGCATATATAAATACATTGTCTAGGAAAGAGGCAATTAATCAAATGCCATTGGGTATGTTAAACTGTAGTATCCACAATCAAATCCTATTTCCATTTATTTAACTCTTTAACAAATACTACCGAGTTGTGAACATAATTTAACTTATCATCAGAAACACGACGATATCCATTTATAGAGCAGGAGCTGGTTATGCCTTTGTTGTCTTTAAGTTGACACTCCTTTTACCTTCCGTTTATTTTTGTTGAAAATTTTACTTTGTGGTTTCTGACCATTCATACATATTTTGAATGTTAAAAATATCTAATCTCACCTTTAATTCGACTTCTCCTCTGTAAGACATTTTATAACTACCCAGTTCATCAAGTTTCACTTTCGTTGTATGACTAATATGGATCCTAAAAGCTAACATAAAACGGAAGGCATTTTCAATAAAATAAAGGAATTGCATTTAAGCAATACATAATCAAAGACATTTATAACAAGTACATAAAAAAATAATTTTCGCGAAATTTTAGAATAATTAATTGAATGTCCAATCCTCATGAGTTTTACAGATTGTAGTCGATTTTTTAAACTACAAGTTTTTTTTCTGAAATCAATATGAACAACCTTAAAGTATATTCTTTCCACATAGAAATAATTCAAACATCATTTAAACATTAAATTCTTCATTTGAAGTAACAAAAAAACATTAAGTTATATACGGGACGAAAATATATATATATCACCAAAAGCTTTCCAATGTTTTGGTAATCGAACTAATGCGTAAGTGTTTGATTTTAAAAATGAGCATATTATATCGTAACTTGTTGATCCTTTAGAATTTTGTTACCTCTCCTTGACCTTCAAATCATCCGAACTATCTTTAAAGTTGCAATATTTTTTTTACAAAATCGTGCATTTTTTGTATTCTCATTTCAAAGATATATCCATGTGTCTTCTTTGAATTCAAAAGATCTTACTGTTTGAGATACATCCTAAACTGAATGCATTAGCCTTTGGTTTTCAATCAAGACCTAATTACAGGCATGCACTGATTTTTTTATGCTTTTATTACAACTCATATAAATTAAAGTCAACTGGAGGTGTAAGTCAATGAGACAGAATATCAAGGACACATAAAAGAAGAAAAAAAACATCAACTGGTTAACATACGGCCATCAACAATAGCCAAGTATCGAAACAATATTGCTGGCTATACAATCGCCAAGAATCTAGAAAGGCAGTGAAACAATTTAACAGAAATCTATCCCCAACACCGAACGCCTACAGGATTAAAACATTTACATACAAATATGTGCTGGTATATTAAATAAAAATGCGCATACAGGTCAAACAATAATAAATCATAGTGTGTCACAGAATGGTCACAGTTACTGAAAACAAATCGAAGAACTGAACTTATTGAAATAGAAAGCATGGTCATAATTTATGAATTCAAAAAGATGCGTAGTGTAATTCATTAAGACAGCAACCCACAACTGTACAACACCATTAAGACGTTTCTAAATAATCATATTTTGATGGATGCTGCAAGATTAAAAAAAAGATAAATCCTTAGACAGGAGTGATTCAAAGGATATTTTTGGGGAAAATCTTTTTGTTGTTGTTGGAGGTGGGTGGAATTAAAAAAAACTTAACAGAATGATTAAAGTAAATAATTTCAAAATTGTCCTCTTTAAAGGCTGAAAATATGAATATTGAAGATAAGACAGATGTCCATCCAAAATTTTGGCGAACATAATTTATTACTTTTTGTGCATGTTGGTCTTGTTTCGTATATATTGTGATAACATGGCATAAAACATTCAGTGCTGGGGTTCGTACATTTTTCAAATGCGATTGAATATGACGCTTATTTGTACACTAGTTGGTAGTTTTGTTTCTTGTATCAATAAACATACCTGCACCGGTCGACTCCATTCTAGATGCTGTGTTTACTGTATCACCAAAAAGGCAATACCTCGGCATGGTAAGGCCTACCACTCCCGCTACACATGACCCTATTGAATAGAAGAAAACATTTGGAATTATATGAAAGACCGTCTAAATTTTATGTAATGTTAGACAAATTCGTCAAACTTTAATGACACATATTTTGTTCATTCGACAGGGTTGTTTCTTTGATAGTCGCTGTTGAAATTGTTCACAGCCTTTTTTTTTTCTTTTGGACATGATGTTTGTCTGTTTTTCTTCGACTTTTGATTTTGATTTTGATTCTCCTAAAGTATGGTCTCCTTATTCTCGACTCGAGGTGATTAACACTGTGACACACTGCTGAAAACCTGATTGTTACCAACAGATGTCTTTTGATTGTTGTGTCGTAGGGGTACTTATTGGTGAGTTGAATGTAAAACAACTCTTTTTGCGCTTACTCTCATATACAATGTATCAAACCTAAATTAAAACACAAAAATACTCTTTGAATTCTTTCTCAGCTTTAAAAGAGGAACGAAAGATACCAGAGAGACAGTCAAACTCGCAGATCGAAAACAAACTGACAACGCAATGGCCAAAAATAAAAAGACAAACAGATAAATAATGGTGCAGATGACACAACATAGAAAACTAAAGACTTAGCAACACGAACCCCACCAAAACAAAAACTGGGGGTGATCTCTAACTTATATGTTCAAATATAATGTATCATTATTTTATCTTCTAAACGCGTTAGAAAATACATAGAGTCGGGTCTGCATTTATTTTGTCGACTTTTTTACTCAATTCTATTCAACTAACCTGAATGCAATCCTATACGAAGTCTCAGTGGTACTTCCGGCATATGTCGTATGGTAAATTTTCCACATTGGCTGAGAAGATCTAACGCCATTGTTCCAACCTCCCCTGCATGTCTGTTACCATTCGGAATCGGAAGTCCGCTAGCAACCATATACGCATCACCAATGGTTTCAACCTTAAAAATGTATTCAATTAAAGTAGCTGTATTTTAATTACGTGTTAGATTGATTAAGGAGGGACAAGTTATTGCATGCTATCACTATACGGACTTCATTAACAAGGTTGTGCTGCTTTCACAAAATCTGTTCAGAGTTATGGGCAAGAACGACTGAAATCCACACGCCATGTTACGGTCATCATCATAAATTTGTTGACCGATACGATATGTCTGTCTAAACTGACTAGCGACATGTTGTTGCAGTCTTTAGATGAGAATAGTTATCTAATCTTACCGATTGTGTCCTATTGTGACATAATGTGAATTCGTGCGGCAGCTGATGCATGCATAGCAGGAATCTCTTACCTTGTCGACTCATTTTGGAGTTCATGACATTCCCTCAGTTTTTTTTATTTGTTACCTTGATTTGTCCTCTTAATCGATTCCTGAGATTTAGACGAACGAATTGAGACTTTCGTCAAGTCTTAATGTTTTCCTACAAACATTGTACCAATTTCCTGACATATAATAAAATTCATTGACTAATATTATGAATCTATATTAATCGATATAACTCTATAATGGTTCCACAAGCTGCTGCTCTCAGTAATGGTCATAACACAGTACTAATGCTGTACGGCAAATTTATCATTCAGGCATGTATAACTATATTTTTTAAGATAAAATGCAAACACCAATAGAGCTTGTAAGAGATCAAATATCTCTGATTATTTCTAGAACCTGTGTAGCATATGTATTGATTTGGATGCAAAGGAAAAGACAAATGTTAGTTTCATGGACAGAATGAGCATGCACCATTCTTCTCAACAAAACTTTACATGTACATAGAACACATCAAACAGTTTATAGATATAACAAATTCTAATTAAAAGTAATAAATTAAAATTTTAAAAGCGTTTGAAAGAAACAGAGGTTAAACTTGACGTAGGTACCGACTTATCAAACATATATATGCCATATAATGCGTCGGTAATCGGTGACGCAACATAGATGACATATATGTATTATTTACCTCGCTGATGTTATTTCTTTTAAATGGGAGAAAATCTTGATTTGAAACACATACAATCGCCAAAGACAAATACATTAAAAGTATTTCTTACAATTACATTATGAATAAAATATGTTGTACTTATGGCATTTTTTCAGGCACCTCTATGAAATGTATTTCAAATTACCTTATACACATCATAGTTGTCTATAGTATAATCTTTCAAATTACCTTACACACATCATAGTTGTCTATTGTCGAATCTTTCAAATTACCTTATACATATCATAGTTGTCTAGAAAAATCTTTCGAATTACCTTATACACGTCATAGTTGTCTATAGTAGAATCTTTCAAATTACATTATACATACCATAGTTGTCTATTGTCGAATCTTGCAAATTACCTAATACACATCATAGTTGTCTATTGTCGAATCTTGCAAATTACCTTATACACACCATAGTTGTCTATAGTAGAATCTTTCAAATTACCTTATACACATCAAAGTTGTTAATTGTCGAATCTTTCAAATTACCTTATTCATATCATAGCTGTCTATAGTAGAATCTTTCAAATTACCTTATACACATCATAGTTGTCTATTGTCGAATCTTTCAAATTACCTTATACACATCAAAGTTGTTTATTGTCGAATCTTTAAAATTACCTTATTCATAGCATAGTTGTCTATAGTAGAATCTTTCAAATTACCGTAAACACATCATAGTTGTGTAGTAGAATCTTTCGAATTACCTTATACACATCATAGTTGTCTATAGTAGAATCTTTCAAATTACCTTATACACATCATAGTTATCTATTGTAGAATGTTTCAAATTATCTTATATAGAAATAAAAAGATGTGGTATGAGTGCCAATGAGACAACTCTCCATCCAAGTCCAAATTTATAAAAGTAGACCATCATAGGTCAAAGTACGGTTTTCAACACGGAGCTTTGGCTCACACCGAACAGCAAGCTATAAAGGGTCCCGAAAATTACTAGTGTAAAACCATTCAAACGGGAAAACCAACGGTCTAATCTATATAAAAAACGAGAAACACTCAAGAACCACATCAACAAACGACAACTACTGAACATCAGAAACCTGACTTAGAACAGGTGCAAACAATTGCAGCGGGTTTTAACGTTTTAATGGTACCAAACCTTCACCCTTATCTCAAGCAATAGTGTAACATCACAACATAGAAAGACACACTATAAAATATCAATTGGCTTAACTCAATCAAAAGACATATTAACACCAGTGAACATACACTGAACAAATAAATTTGATCTATGATACAATGTAAATACAAAATAAATAAACTAAGGGAAGAATAATTAAAGTAGCATGTTATACCGCTGTGAAATGTTAACCAATTTAAGAAAAACAATATGCTTGAACAAAAAAATCAGCCATTTGCAATTACTATAAACACAGGTAAATGAAAATAATTTTGTTGTTAGGTATACGTGTACAGTTCAAATTGGGAAAGGAAATATTCTTACAAAATAAATAATTTTGATGTTCATAGAACGAAGAAGTGAAAATTTATAGTAATACCAAACACTTATCAAAGTATATAGACCAGATATAACCATCAATAAGTAAACATTAAATAACAAAAAAGCATTACATTTAGTATCAACAGGTCAAATAAACAAGAAAGTACGATTTGAGAGTACTTGCAGTTACTGACAGCTAGTTAAAAGCCAAAAACAATTAATAATAAAAAAATCATGCATCAGTGACTAAAATCAACTAAAACACATCCCATGGATTTAGTATTTTAACGTCAAAGAAGACATGACTTGTGCAATGCCAAAAATAAACGTATCGACAGGTAGTAGGATAGTTAGGAGTTAACCTCTTTATAGATCAAAATGAACGTGGGTGTGTCTTTATACATCTCGTTTGAAAAGAATACAAATTTAGTTATGTTTTAATTTGCTGATTACAAAATCGATATTAGTGCCAATGTAAACTATATTTAAAGATCTAATTACAACATTGGTAAGATAACCTTTACTAATAAGTTTGTTTAAAGGTTCGATGAGTTTACATGGATCACATAGTGATTTCCGCGCTTTAAGTACAATATTACCGTAAAATTTAGGATGTGAAATACCGTTTTTAATCAGTTTTCTACAGGTACAGCCAAATTTACTAATCAAATCTTTGTATCTATGAAAGAATTTAGTAAAAGTTTTACGTAATTTATGGTAACAAAATCCCTGACTTAATAATTTACCAGTGATGCATTGATTACGTTCGTTAAAATCTATGACATCACTACACACACGGGCATAACGAACGAGTTGGGATATATAAACACCGTATGATGGAGCCAAAGGAACATCGCCGTCAAAGAAAGGAAAATTAATAAAAGGGAATGAAAAGTTATCTCTTTTGTCGTAAATTTTTGTATACATATCATAGTTGTCTAGTAAAATCTTTCGAATTACCTTATACACATCATAGTTGTCTATAGTAGAATCTTTCAAATTACCTTATACACATCATAGTTGTCTATCATAGTAGAATCTTGCAAATTACCTTATACACATCATAGTTGTCTATTGTAGAATCTTTCAAATTACCTTATACACATCATAGTTGTCTATAGTAGAATCAAACATGGTGTATAAATCATTCAAAAGTGTAACCACTTGCAATGGATTACTCATGGCAGAGATTGTCGTAAATCCAACAATATCACTAAAGTAAATTGTCACTTCTGTAAACATTTCAGCTTCTACTGATTTGCCTGTCTTCAAACTTTCAGCAACAGTTCTGAAAAAAAAGACGGGATGAGAGCTTGTTTTGCCCTTTAACATACATGTACATTAAAACTGTTCTCTAACTGTCTATTTCAGTCATCATTGATCATTTATAATCTTAAACTTAAGTCATACAAACGTAGTGGGTTGATGAATGTCATGCTTTTGGTTAACTTTCACATTTAAAAATGTGACATTTTGTCATGCCGGTATTAGGGTTGCTCATTGTTGAAACATTTACGGTGACTTATAGTTGTTTACATCCTCTGGTGGTAAGTTGTCTCATCAGAAATCGTATCTTAATTATTGCTAAATTTTATAATTTAATCAAGGTACAAAAACTAAACAAAATGAAATGAATAGAGAAACAAATCATCAAGAAACTTTGGAAAATGTCGATATCGAATCAATATCGTCGGTATCGAAGCGATTTTGTCAATAGCGACAAATTCAGTAGATGGGAAAAGTGTAAAGTCCATTTTATAAAAAAAAAAAATCAGCTGAGGATAATTTTGAATATCGATATCGACATTTAGAGCAGATGAAAGACTAATATAGAAAACGAAATTTCGAGGTGAACACTGTATCTATCATGTCTCCACAAAGGGTTAAGATAAGAATAAAGTGACTACCGATATAGGTACGATGTTGTCGAAATCGTCACTATATTGTGATTTGGATAAAGACGAATATACAAACAACAGACCATAAAACAAAATACATCAACTTTAAGATGGAGCAACATGAACCCCACAAAAAACGGGGATGAACTCAGAAATTTTGAAAGGGCAAACAGTTCCTATCTCGACAATCTGTTTTGTTGTTCATTGCAACTAAATATCCGGTGATATGTCGCAAACGCTGATGTCAAAAACGATTGTAATCACTTCTTGTAAGTGTATCACATCAGTGGTCAGCTTTGAAATAAATACAAATCATAATGGACTCAGTAATTTTTTTTAAGGGATCACTCCAACCTTACTATTAAGGAGTCTTGATTCACTGGGTTCCCTATAAGAAGCAATTCTTTATAAAGGAAATCATGATAGGAAATGACAGTGCATACATTGGGAGACATATACTCCATATGCATGTGCTGATGGAATGTTGCTCCAAGAAAATGGGAAGTTAACAATGGAATAGTTCTCAACTGACACTCATGGTCAAAATGTTGATGTACGTCAAGTTATGAAGCAGACATAACTATTTCTGTAGTATTCGTTATTTCAAGTGCGATGGGATAGACGCGATCAACATAGTCGACAAACTTGGAATTATTCAGTGAGAGGACAACATCTACATAGCGAAACGTGATATTAAGGATAGTACTATCTTATTTTTCTTTTTCTTGTATAGCCCCTTTATGAAGTTTGACTTAAACAAAAAACAAATACATAGGCGAGAAAAGAACCTTAGTTGGTTTCCTGGGAATGTCTACTGTTGAAAAATATATCATCCGAATGAAACAAACATCTCTCAATAATATAATCTTGATGAAGTCAATTTCAGAGTAGTTTTTGTTTAAAACTTCGTGTATTTTACAAAGTATAATTTTTCCTGTCTTTAAACAACATGTGTGTATCTTTTATGAAACAAAAGCTGGACAACAATCGTCAATCTGCCTTTAGTTTAGAATGAGGTATGCTAAATATAGTGTAAAGTGTATGCTTGTCAAATGTTTTATGATATTGGACGTAGAGAAGGCCTTTATGACTTTTCTCTTAAAAATCTTTGGAAGTTGTAAGTATCAACATATTATTCTCACCGCTCTAGAGTGACTAAATGTGAAGCAAATCATGATATAAATATAATTACAGGTACAAAAATTTGAATTTCATGGCAACGGAGTAAATGGAATGAACAAATAAATCAATATTACATTAATTTACTTTTTTATTTTAAGAGGATCATGTAAAGACAATTTTAATACACACAGAAGAAACAGGTGTGATCATGGATATAAATTGTAGTTAAAATCATTTCTGACATATCTTCATCTTAATACTCTCTGCTGTTTTATATTATATTGGATATTTGCATACGAATCAGCTGACGAATACAGTTGCCAAACTTTGAACAAAGTATTTTTTTAACTCATTACTTATGCCGTTTTTATCCTTGATCTGTTTGTTGACTTACGGTGGTAACATTCTAAATAAAAGAAGGTCTGTTTTCTTTTTCTCTTCTTCAAGTTCCAGTGTTCTTTCTTTCACAATGTCTTCCAAATCATTTGAATACTTCTCTAGCATTCGGAACATAGAATCCACTATGTTGAGTTTTCTACAGAATAAAGGATAGTGAGTTTACGATACAAGCTGGATGATGATAGATAGAGAAAAGCCAGAGTGAAAGAGGAAGAGAAAGGTGAATGATGATAGAAAGAGAAAAGCCAGAATGAAAGAGGAAGAGAAACCATTAAGTATGACATCTACATTTTGACTCAATTTCAACTTCTTTACCTTGAATATCTAAATTCAGGTTTCCATTTTCACTGAACTAGTACACAATTTTATTTAGGGGCCAGCTGAGGACCACCTCCGGGTGCGGGATTTTCTCGCTGCGTTGAAGACCCATTGGTGGCCTTCGGCTGTTGTCTGCTCTTTGGTCGGGTTGTTGTCTCTTTGACATATTCCCCATTTCTATTCTCAATTTTATTATCAAGGTAAAGTAAGATTATTTTCTTTCAGTATCCCTAGTATCACCAAAAATGTGTGCTTTTATAACTAGGAATGAACAGTTCCTATTTAGAACAAAGAATTCCCCTGTGGTTTAGTCGATATCGTTGGTTACTGTCTGTTATATCTGTAGTTTAGTCGATATCGTTGGTTGATGTCTGCTTTATCTGTTTTTCGTTTATTGTTTTGTCATAAATCAGACCCGTTGGTTTTTCGTTTGAAATATTTCACGTTTTGTCATATCATTGCCCTTTATAGCTACATATTATGGTATGGTTTTGCTCATTGTTGAAGGCACTCGGTGACCTATAATTGCTTAAATCCATATCATTTGGACTCTGTTGGATAATTCAACTTGTCTCATTGGTATTCATACCACACCTATTTATTTCATATGAGACGTGTACGCTGACTATACAACTTTTTACGAAAAGCACGAAAAAAGCAACCAATAAGTGAACTTGTATAAGCACAAATAGCGTAAATGAAAAAAAAAAAACGAATTTACAAATTACTGTTAACTTATTCATACGATGAAAATAGCGTGGGATAACCTGATCTAAAACTTTTACCTTAATCTAATTCACTTCCTGGTCGTAATTAATTGATTGTATGTAGACAGGACAAACAGGTCGTTATTTAACTTAATAATTTTCCAAATGGAAAAATTATCGTACTCTTTAGCTTTTATCTAAAGGTTTAATTTCTGGTGATTACATAGAATAACAATTAATTTCAACGGTACCATTTACATACAATTTTTCTTTCTGAAGATATTTTAGTTTTTCTCAAATGACCAATGTAATTAATTTTCAAAGACAATTAAGAGACTTTCCATATGATACATCAACTTTCTGAATAAAAAGTGATTTTAAACTTAAAGTGCCTGAACATAAAATAAGATGCAACAAATGTCTTACGTAATTTAGTGTCATGATTTTTCTCATTTATAAAGGAGAAGGTTCGATAAGGTCCTAAAAAGGCCCCTATTTCTAGCTATAATTTCAAATTAGGATTTATTGACCTGTATCACAATGAATCCTAGCTAATATAATGTCTAGATAGAAAATATGTCTTTTTGTTGAAAATTTATGTACTTGCGTTCACTTTATGGCGTCACAAATAGCACTCATTTTGATTTTTCCAACGACAATTCAATGAAAACGGGTAAATTTCCATATTTTTTTTGGACAGGAAACATAGAGTGCATGCGTCGACAAAAAAGATCTTTTCATATAATGTTTGTTTTAACATTTTATATATCTGATTTGAATTATTAGTTTGACGACACATGCGCTCTATTTTTCTTAGGCCTTAATTTGGTTGAAATCCGTACGACTTTTGCAAACATTTCTAATTTTGGACCATTTGGGATATAAAAATCAACGCTTTAAAATAATTTTTTGACAAAAATAGTTTTATCTAACTTTTTCACATGTCTTAAAATCAACTTAAAACATGTTTTGTCTTGAAACATTGAACTTAATAATCGGGGCCAAATATGGTACTTACCAAACTAACTCCTTTTGTGTTTCCCTTTTTTTCCCCATTGAAAAACAATTTATCATGTTTATACCTTACCGCGGTGGCGAAGGGTAATAGCAATATGCTTGATCTGATGAATACATTTTTTGGTAATGAATGTTTTTTGCCCAGATTTTAAATGTAAGAGATGTTTTAAATATTGTAAGGGGAATGTAAGCGTTTGTTTCAAAAGTTTAGATTTTTTGGATTTGAGAGATACTGCAAAAAAAGTGACCAGAAATAATTAATTGTATGGGTTTCGCATTTGGTGATGTCTTAGGGTTAAGACAAAAGATTTTTATCCATCCTAAATTTGTAAAATGCCTATTATTTGGATATGACTCGATCAATGTATTTTAACAAACGGGTATCACTAATGAAGCAGCAACTTCCGGAGTACCTGAGTTAACCCCTGGTTTTTGGTGGGATCCCTGTTGTTCAATAATTTTAAAAAATGATAGCATGAATTTTATTTTTTGAATTAATAGGCTGTCTCTGGCTCGATAGTGGTTATAAATGGATTAATTTGGTACATAGTTTTGATATATAAAATCTGCAAAAAATACTGACTTTCCCCCTGAGATTGTTTTATATTGATGATAAACTTCTTCAATGGAAGGCCGCAGGTCTGGATTTTCTGCCCAGCAGGACTTCATCAATTGTATATATTGTGGCGGCGCTGCCTGTGGAGATACGGATGGTCGCAGTAACGGTGGAGGTTTCTTCAATTTCTTTATTATTTCTGTCAAGTATAAGCAGATACTGCAGCAAAAGTTTTAACATAAAACCGAGAATAGTTTAATATACACAATGAACGGCCAGGTGTTGTAAGTTTCAAGACGTTGAAGCTGTTTTTAGAGTTATATGGAAGCTGGAAGTAATATTATAATTTCATAGAAGGTAAAAAACACTGTATCACACTGTATCACACTTTTGCTTGTTAAGGTAACAGGTAAGTAAATGGATGATCTTGCTGAATTTTATTAAATTTTGCATACAACTAGAGCCTGAGGAACTGCAAATGAACATCGAGACAGTTATATATATATATTTAACTTTTATACTTTCTGAGATATAGCAAATAAAATATTCGGAAAATAGAAGTACAAAATGTATAAAATACACGTAAATATCGTGAAAAGTTCATCAATTTTGACTTAAAATTAACTTTTCTCGAAATCCTGTCTTACGATATTTTTTTTTTAAATGATATATCATTGCTACTGAAATTTTTGGTTTTGTTGATATTAAATTTATAGGGGTCACCGAATTCGTTTTTTGAGTATAAATAGTTCAATCTTATGTACAGTGTGGAACAAAAGGCAAAAATAATCGTGACGTCTGCTTTTTGTTGCAAAATAGATGCCAATTTGGTACTCGGTGCAGTTTGGGTATTAGTACTGTAACGTTATATATATATAAATAAACGATTACATTTTGCAGCGGTAAACAAAAGTGAGAGGCAAAATACACGCACTATTTTGTGAAAACCCATGTAAACCAGCTTAGACCATTTTTATTTATTGACAGATATGTTCACAACAATAACGAATATCGAAATATTTATGCATGCAAAACAAAAGATGCATATCTTGTCGATACACCCATTCACGCTTCGTTAGTTCTTCTTATTCAAATAAGTGTCGCATCTGATTTTTGACAATGCATGCAAGTATTGATGTACGATTTTCCTCTAACATAGCTGCCCTCAAGCGGTTTGGCTATTTCATACATACAAGGACCCGTTTTGCTTCTTAGCTTGTAAAATGTAAGATTTTCCTCTAATAAAGAGTTCCTCATGCGGTTTGGCCATTTCATACAAGGACCCGTTTTGCTTCTTAGATTGAAATATGATAAGCAATTGAATTACATTTAACATACATGCATACCTTCTCGTTTTAAATCTATCATTCCAAATGGACTCATTCTAAGTATTAATTCCTGAGTTACTATAGCAAAACTATACATATCGCCTTTTTCAGAGCCTTTCATACAATAACCTGGTTCTCTTAGATGTTCCGGAGCTGTCCAAAGAAGATCTGCATTATAGAACAAAGAACTATTAACTCGCTGTTCAAAAGTATTCTTAACAAAAATAGTTAGATAGTCTGACCATTAATAAAAACTAAGTGTTCACTAACTATATCCCAACATTCGGTATATACAGGTATCAGAAAAACTAGTAACAAAAAAAAAGCCAGGTTAGTTATCCCCCGCAATCGGTATATATGTTACAGCACGCTTGGAATTTAGTAGGATCCAGGATCCAGGATCCTCCTAGTATAAATTGAAATTCAATTCAAATATCTACTAGTAGAAATTGAGATATCCAAAAACTTTGTTAAGTTTCGATCACAAATTATTTACTCCGAATACTGAGTCAAGTTTTACGACCGAGAGCCCAGATTTGCACTAGGAGGATTCTGTTTTGTACTAATTTTCTAGCATTTAAAGGTGTTATGAACAAAATGGTAACTTCCATAAATTAGGCACATTTACGGATAAATTATAACAAGAAAGAAGTAGTGCAAAGAAGGAATAACTTATTGCACCTTGTCCTGTATTTGTTTGACTAACAGTGTCAAAATCAGAAAGTTATTAAAACTTGATGGAATACAATAGTAATATAATAAAAAGATAAACCATTTTACATATTTCCTTCAAATCAAAATGATATTCACACTATATTTTGCATTGAAGACAATGTTTAAAAATAGACATATTTTGGTCAAATTATGCATCTATGCATATCATTAACAAAAAATAATCAATATATATCTGTAAGACATAGATATACTGCAAATAAAATGGCTTTAGTTAAGTAATATAGTGTTTTTATGAATTTTTGAAAATTATACAAATTGGCCAAAATCTGTCAAAATGAAGTTTTGAACCATCTATAAATATCTATAATAAGCTCTTACTAAGTTGCTGAGAAAAATCCAACAGAAATATCATCGGTTACTGAAAGATGGACGGATGTAAACCAGTATACACATTCTTTCAGTGGAGGTATAACTACTTTTTAAAAACTTTTCACACACACAGCATGAAATATTGAGCGTAATTTATTCAGATAATATTTGTAATTAGAATAATACCTGCCAATTCCGGCTCGATATTGGCTCTGAACTTTTCCTTTAAGCCGAAATCTGTTAATTTTAGCACCCATCTACTGTCGATTACACAGTTCCTGGATTTTAAGTTACCATGATATCGTACAGCACTATTTTGAATAAATCGTAATCCCTGCAATAATATCCTCGTGAAATTATTTGTGAAAACTTGCTTAATATTTTAAAAACATTTCTACAAAAATTTATTATGTTACATGTATCATGTAGATGATACAAAAATCTTTGGTTTTATGACGTGAGTTCCATGGTTGTATCTGAAGTTGTATAAAGTTGTATGTCTATACAAAGTAAGGAATCATAAATATCACGCATGCTCTACCTTTGTTTTCAAACTCACGGCGATGATTTTACAAAGTCTTATCTTATCATCATGTCATCTTATTGTCTGCATTTGGATTGATAATATGTTTGTTAAGTCTTGCTTTGATGAATGAACATTGTGAACTTTTGGTGTTATTACTATTATAAGGCGTTTCAATTTCTGTAATTTACATTTTTCTCTGGTGAATACTTCAAGGAATATTTTGTCTTGATATATAATTCAACTTTCCTCGTATACTAAAAGTAAGCAGTTATCTGCAATAGAGAAAAAAACCGACGAATTGTAGTTTCAATCCGACTCGGTATCCGCGATAGGCCGAAAATTTTATATTTAGATGATACAAATCATTTTCAATCTTCTGTTACTAGAAAAAGCAGTGTCATGTAATAGAGAATGTAGCGTCATGTATTAGAGAATGTATAGTGTCATGTATTAGAGAATGTATAGTTTCATGTAATAGATAATGTATAGTGTCATGTATAAGAGAATGTATAGTATCATGTCTTAGAGAATGTATAGTGTCATGTATTAGATAATGTATAGTGTCATGTATTAGAGAATGTATAGTATCATGTCGTAGAGAATGTATAGTGTCATGTATTAGAGAATGTATAGTGTTACTTGTGAAAGCAGTGTCATGTAATAGAGAATGTAGCGTCATGTATTAGAGAATGTATAGTGTCATGTATAAGGGAATGTATAGCGTCATGTTTTAGAAAATGTTTAGTGTCATGTATTATAGAATGTATAGCGTCATGTATTAGAGAATGTATAGTGTTTTGTAAAAAGGAATGTAGCGTCATGTCTTAGAGAATGTATAGTGTCATGTATTAGAGAATGTATAGCGTCATATATTAGAGAATGTATAGTGTCATGTACTAGAGAATGTATGGTGTCATGTAATAAGGAATGTAGCGTCATGTCTTAGAGAATGTAAAGTGTCATGTATTAGAGAATGTATAGTGTCATGTATTAGAGAATGTATAGTGTCATGTGATAGAGAATGTAATGTTAGGCAACAGAGAATGTAGTATCATGTACATTTGTTATATAGAATGTAGTGCCAGGTGCAATTTTCATAGAGAGTGCAGAATCGTGTATTTGAGAGTGCAGTTTCATGTACAAGAGAATGCAGTGTCATGTAATAAAGAATGTAGTGTCATGTATTAGAGAATATGGTGGCATCTAATAGATAATGTAGTGTCATATGCATTTGTTATAGAAAATTTAGTGTCGGGTACATTCGTCAAAGAAAATGCAGGGTCGTGTATTAGAGAGTGCAATTTCAGGTGTAAGAGAATGTATTGTCATATAACAGAGAATGCAGTGTCGTGTACATTTGGTATATAATGTCATGTACATGTGCACATTTTCATTGCGAATTAAGTGTCATGTAATAGAGAATGTAATGTCGTGTAAATTTGCCATAGATAGTCAGTGTCATGTTCATTTTTCTTAGATAATGCAGTGTCATGTAGTAGAGAATGCAGCGTCGTGTACATTTGTCATAGATAATGCAGAGTCGTGTACATTTTTAATAGCGAATGCAGTGTCATGTAATAGAGAATGTAATGTCATGTACATTTGTCATAGATAATGCAGTGTCATGTACATTTGTCATAGAAAATGCATTGTCGTGTAATATAGAATGCAGTGTCATATAATATACAACTATGGCATTCATGAAAAATGAATATCCCAAATTATTAAATGCAGGAAAGGTTATTTTCCTCGAGGTCCGCATGATGAAAAACAAACTTATATCTTAATTATTTTATTAGTAGTTGCTTTAGTAACGTATATGAATAGAGAATGCAGTGTCATGTCATAGAGAGTGCAGTGTTATACAATAGAGAATGCAGTGTTTTATAATAAAGGATGATGTGTTATAACATAGATATTGCAGTGTTATATAATATAGAATGCAGTGTTATATAATAGAGGATGCAGTGTTATATAATAGAGATTGCAGTGTTATATAATAGAGAATGCAGTGTCATATCATATGAAATGCAATGTTATATAATAAAGAATACAGGGTCATGTCATAAAAATGCAGTTTTATATAATAGAGAATACAGTGTCATGTCATAAAGAATGCAGTGTGTTATATAATAGGAAATATAGTTTCATGTCATAGAGAATGCAGTGTTGTATAAAAGAGAATGCAGGTCATAGCGAATGCAGTGTTATATAATAAAAAATGCAGTGTCACGTATTAGAGAATGCAGTGTTATATAATAGAGAATGAAGTGTCGTATCATAAAGAATGCAGTGTTATTTAATAGGAAATGCAGTTTCATGTCACAGAGAATGAAGTGTTTTATAAAAGAGAATGCAGGGTCATGTTATAGAGAATGCAGTGTCATGTCATATAGAATACACTGTCGTATAATAAAGAATGCAGTATCATGTCATATAGAATGCAGTGTCATAAAATAGACAATGCAGTGTCATATCATAGACATTGCAGTGTTATATAATAGAGAATGCAATTTCATGTCATAGATAATTCAGTTTTATGTAATACAGAAAACCGTGTCATATAATAAAAAAAATACAGTGTCATGACACAGAAAATGTGGTGTAATAATAGAAAATGCAGTCTCATCTGATAGAGAATGCAGTGTCATGTCATACAGAATGCAGTTATATAATAGAAAATAAAAGTGTCATGTAAATCAGAATGCATTGTCATGTCAAAGAGAATGTGGTGTTATATTATAAAGAATGCAGTGTTATATAATAGAGAATGCAGTGTCATGTCATAGAGAATGCAGTGTTATATAATAGAGAATGCAGTATCATATGAAAGAGAATGCAGTGTCATTTCATAGAGAATGCAGTGTTATATAATACAGAATGCAGTGTCATGTCATAGAAAAGACTGTGTTATATAATAGAGAATGCAGTGTCTTGTCATAGAGAATGCAGTGTTATATAAAACAGAATGCAGTGTCATGTCATAGAAAAGACAGTGTTATATAATAGAGTATGCAGTGTCATGTCGTAGAATATGCAGTGTTATATAATAGAGAATGCAGTGTCATGTCATAGACAAAATGCAGTATTATTTAATAAATATTGCAGTGTCATGTCATGGAAAATGCAGTGTCATGACATAGAAAATGTAGTGACATAATAGAAAATGACACAGAAAATGTAGTGACATAATAGAAAATGCAGTGTCATAATAGAAAATGTAGTATTATAATACAAAATACAGTGTCATAATAGAAAATGCAGTGTTACGTCTTAGAGAATGCAGTTATATAAGAGAAAATGCAGTGTCATGCAAAACAGAATGCGTTTTCATGTCAAAGAGAATGCAGTGTCATGTCATAGAGAATGCAGTGTTTATAATAGAAAATACAGTGTCATGTAAAACAGAATGCGTTGTCATGTCAAAGAGAATGCAGTGTAATGTCATAGAGAATGCAGTGTAATGTCATAGAGAATACAGTGTTATATAAGAGAAAATACAGTGTCATGTAAAACAGAATACATTGTAATGTCATAGAGAATGCAGTGTAATGTCAAAGAGAACACAGTGTTATATAAGAGAAAATGCAGTGTCATATCATAGAAAAGGCAGTGTTATACAAAAGAGAAAGCAGTGTCATATGATAGAGAAGTCAGTGTCATGTAAATCAGAATGCATTGTCATGTCAAAGAGAATGTGGTGTCATATTATAGAGAATGCAGTGTTATATAATAGAGAATTAAGTGTTATATAATAGATAATGCAGTGGTATATAATAGAGAATGCAGTGTTATGTTGTATATTTTTTAATTTTGGTTCATCTATATGTTTCGGAGCATAGAATGGCGTCCATTTTCTTCATCTAGTGTACACTGTGTGTCGGGCCTGCTCGGGGCTGCCTCTGGGTGTGGGATTTCTCGCTGTGTTGAAGACCCATTGGTGGCCTTGGGTTGACTTGTATATTTTGGTTGGGTTTTTGTCTCTTTGACACATTCCCCGTTTCCATTCTTTATTCTATACATGTAGCTGTCAAAGATACTTTTGTAAAAGAGACAAAAGACGCAGTTTTGGAATATGTAACTTCTTTCTAAAAAACGGGTTAATCATACCAAAATCAATCAAGTTAATTTAGGAATAACATGCTGACAAATATAACTCTTTTACCTTTTTTTGACACGAAACTCATTGTGCAGTAGGTGGGAAATTGATTAAATAAAGTTTAAATTGTCTGTATAAAACGTCAAAACATTTTTACATCAATATGAAAAAAAGTGCAGTAGTTATTTGAAAAGTACAACTTGATGCCATACTTACCCAGGTAAACCTTTTTTCAGGTGCTCCCGTGATAGGCTATGCATGATATTAAAATGAAAAGGAAGCACATTTGTTTTTAGAAAAATGTACAATACCCAGCTGATATCTGAAACTACAACATTTGTATCAAGGCTGCATGCAGGTAAAAAAGTAAACTTGTGACAGACAAGGCTTCCGTGCTCATACCGTAAAAAAACACGCCATAACATTCCTTTAAACTGTTCCTTTATTTTGTGTAACAGCGGCATAGCTTATTGTAGAATAACGTCTTTCCATATTAAAAAAATCCATATTATGATCTCCTATGCCAGGAAGTTACCATAATGCGATAGAAATACATCTATAGCATGCATATTTTGCGTTGTAGTATTCATTAACTATTTGGTATATATATGCACCCTCCGCTTGGGGTTGAATCACAAAGTTAACACAGTTCAAAACTATTTAATTAATCACAAAAAACACATAGCATGTCATATTTCTGACTAATTCATGAGATATTTTCCTAAGTTAAATGTGCAATTGTGCCTATATCACCCTAAACCTTTGCGAAATACGAAGAGTTAGCACTTGGTATGCTAATGAATGTCCTTTATTCAAATGTCACTGATGAGTTTGTATAGACGAAACGCGCGTCTGGCGTAGAAAATATTATAAGCCTGGTACCTTTGATAAGTATTTACTTTAGGCCTAACACAGTGCCATATTCTGTGAGATGTCGATAATTTGCAAGTATATTTCATTTGTCTATATGATTTATTTTCTTATGCTTGATTTGTTCAGTACGGTATACATGTTGTCTTATATCTTCAGTATATCCTGTTTTATTTTAGAAAATGAACAATGTCGCTCTTATGAAAGAAATAATTTAAGCGTGCGTGACTTTGCAACATATAGACTCTTATGATTAAGTATCACATACTAGTAACTCTTTCAAATTCTGCAATCAAAATACCGGGACCCTTCCTCATGCAGTGTATAACTAAGTTCGGATACATTTATGCTTTGTTTATTAAATGCGAAGTAAACCTGAAAATTCTGTTTAAAAAATCAGACGACACGACCGTTTATATATACGACCGTTTATATATATATAATTCTTAAGAATTTAGAGAAACATAATATTTTTGTAACTTGCAACTCAACCTTCGTAAATTGCAACTCGACCTTCGTACCTCGCAACTCGACCTTCGTAACTCGCAACTCGACTTTCGTAACTCGCAACTCGACTTTCGTAACTACCAACTCGACTTTCTTAACTTGCAACTCGACTTTTGTAACTCGCACCTCGGCCTTTTCAACTCACACTTGCAACTCGACGATAAGAAACCCTCATAATAGAGAATGCAGTGTCTTATGAAAGAGACTGCAGTGTCATTTCATAGAGAATGCAGTGTTATATAAAAGAGAGTGCAGTGTCATGTCTTAGAAAAGGCAGTGTTATATAATCGAGAATACAGTGTCATGTCATAGAGAATGTAGTGTTATATAATATAGAATGCAGTGTCTTATGAAAGAGACTGCAGTGTCATATCATAGAGAATGCAGTGTTATATAAAAGAGAGTGCAGTGTCATGTCTTAGAAAAGGCAGTGTTATATATCCGAGAATACAGTGTCATGTCATAGAGAATGTAGTGTTATATAATAGAGAATGCAGTGTCGTTTTATAGAGAATACAGTGTTATATTATAGACATTGCAGTGTTATATAAGAGAGAATGCAGTCATAGAGAATGCAGTGTTATCAAATAGAGATTGCAGTTTCATGTAAAACAGAATGCAGTGACATTTCATATAGAATGCACTGTAATATTATAAAGAATGTAGGATCATATTATTGAGAATGAGTGTCAAATTATTGTGAATGCAGTGTTATATAATAGAAAATGCAGTGTTATATAATAGAGAGTGCAGATTCATGTAAAACAGAATGTACAGTCATGTCATAGAAAATACCCTGTTATATAATAAAGAACGCAGGGTCATATTATTGAGAATGAGTGTCAAATTATTGTGAATGCAGGGTCATGTTATTGAGAATGCAATTTCATGTAGTAGAGAATTAAGTGTCAAATAACAGAGAATACAGTGTGATGTTTTAGAAAATTCAGCATCATGTCATAGTTAATGCAGTGTCGTTTAATAAAGAATGCATTGTCATTTTATATAGAATTAAGTGTCATATAACAGAAAATATGGTATCATGTTTCAGAGAATTCAGCGTCATGTCATAAAGAATGCAGTGTTGTTTAGTACACACTGTAATGTCATGTGCATTTGAATGTAGCGTCGATTGATAGAGAATGTAGTGTCGATTGATATAAATGTAGCATTAAGTAATAATACAGGGTCATTTAATAGAGAAACTATTGATAAAAATGTTATGGAGAATGTAGTGTTATGTGATAGAGGATCTTCGTGTCATAGAGAATGTAGTGTCATTTAAAGGAAATGCAGTGTCATGAAATAGTGTAGAGAATGAGTTACTTAATAGAGAATTTTCATGCCATTGAGAATCTAGTATCGAGAATATGCAATGTTATGTGACAGAGAACGTAGTGTTGTGTAACTTATCTAGACTTGGAGATTATACATCAATGGGTTAATCAATATGGACAAAAATAGTATCAATTATTGAATTTGTCTTACTTATTATGGATTAATTAAACCAGTCTTACCCTTACTAGGTCTGTTAATAAGGACACTTTAAAATCCCAGTCCAGTTTGATGTTCGCACTTTTGATCACATCCTATAAGTAAAAAAAAAACTTGCAATGAATAACGACTGCTGGTTTATATGATAAATAATAGAATTACTGATTGAAATTATACCACCAAAGACGTGCTTTTTGCTAAATATGAAATGCATAAATAAACAATCTTTTCAAAGGTATTTAGTGAAGTGTTTAAACAAAGATATAACTTCACTACTTTTTTGTCCACACAGCACGCTTCTTTATTTCTACAGGAAATAAACGTTGATACGATAACTCAGTTGGGTGACTTTAAAACTGTAAGTTTTATAACTTGCTTTCTAAGAGTAATGGCTACTTCGTTTAAGTTCAATTTCAGCTATCGTTGTTGGTGGGAATCGAATAATGATGTCATGTTACGATAATGCCAGATCGCTGAAGAGTATTTTGTAAAAAAAAATATCATTTAGATTTTATAATCTAAATGATATTTTTTTAATTCAATATATTAAATGGTTTAATTTAAAATCTGAATACAATTGCCAACATTCTCATGACAAAAATAAAAAGAACTCATTATTTTGATTAACAAGTATGTTGTTGCTTTTTTATAAATCTGAATCTTAGTACATAATTCCTGTTTAAACGTGACTTAAGTTAGTTATCCATTCAAACAATCGAAAGAAACATAAATATGTATATATACTAGAGACGGATGCAGTAGATATATAATCATATGTCTTTTAAAATTTTTATTTCATTATTTTTTTAAGTCTTGTTCAAAGAATACAATCGACTTGTGTGCAGTAAAAAGGAAAATGTAAAATAACAAAAATACCAAACTCCAAGGAAAATCTAAAACGTAAAGTCCCTTATCAAATGGCAAAATCAAAAGCTCAAACATATCTAACGAATGAAACTGTCATATTCCTGACTTGGTACAGGAAATTAATGTCATAAACTTTTTTCAATTAGCAATAAGCAACTGCGTATTTCTTATTCTTTAATAAAATCTTGAAGTTTGATCTAACTGTACCTGTAAGCTTCCCCTATTACAATATTCTGAAACAACAGCATAACATGTTGGATCAATAAGAATGCCATACATCGGATTCACATTTTCGTGTCTTATTTCACGAAGCTGAAAAACATTATTTAAAATAACATGTACTAAGTTCAATTTCCTCTGCAAGAATTGTATGCAAACATTGTATGTTTCAATCATATATTTCAATTAGACTTACTTTTATGTCATTTGGTCTCTGGTGGAGAGTTGTCTCATTGGCAGTCATACCACATCTTCTTATTTTTTATTGTAAATTGTAATCTAAAAGGCCTTTTTTATAGACTAAACCAAAAAGTACAAACTTACTTGTAATCAACGGTAATTGGAATAAATTCTCGGTGAATATTTGATTTTTTTGGAAAACGCGAGTTTGGGACGGAGGCTTCGTTAACAAATAAATACATAACATATATTGGCTTGTTAATTAAATCATGAACACACATTTTGTTTCATAAGCAACATATCGTAAATATAAATCGTAATTTACTGAAGCATGTCATTTTATATTTCATTACACATGTATGATTTTTATCATTAGCTGTTGTCTTTAAAAAAGAGATTTCTTTATGGTTTCAGATATTTTTCTACTGAATACTTAACAACTTTACAGAATGGAAATTAAAAGCATTTGATGCAACCTATGTTGCTACACAAAGCTTTTATTAAATTGATGACCAAATACTTGTATTATAATAAATGACTCCACACGGCTCATACTTCAAAATTTAACAAATACATAATGTAAATCTTATCCAAGAAAACAGTCTGTTATTCTTCTCTTCACACTGTATCTACTTACAGTTCTAAATTGCGCCAACATCTTCCCTGAAACTTCAAACCCTTTTGTAGATATTTCTTTGACGTATACAATATCTCCCTAAAGTTAGAAAACATTAAACATTTTTAATATGTATCAGCATTTCGTGTGTATTTAGTCTAGACGCCATCTAAGTAACTATCCATATAACCTCCGAATATAAAAATAAGAAGTTGGAGATGTTGTCAAAAACGATGATTTTGTGCCTTTTTGTTTTACCTGTAAGCTTGATGAAAACATTGGCTGCAGCATACGATCCAAAAAAATTATGAAACCAAAAGGTGACAAGGTTCATACTGAATCCTTAGAAATAACAGTTTTCCAGTTTGGAGTTCCTTTAAAGACAAACGCATTCCGAACGGATGTGGCTACGTATTTATACATCCCTCACAACCAAACGCACTCCGACCGGACGTGGCAGTGTATTTATACATCCACCAACAGCCAAACGGACGACTCCCTTTAGCATGTTGGATGGGAACGTCAACCCTTGAGATTATTTATCATTGAGGGTGTTATGGTACTTTGATGAAAGGCATTTTACAGACGAAATTGTGACTCAATGATGTGCCTCAGAACGATATATATATCTTACCATATATTTTGTTAGAACTAGTTTGAATATTTCAAGAAGAATTACAACTTTGTTGTTGATTTGGCTGCAACTTGAAAACATATTTGTAGTATACGCAGTACACCTGTATATGTATAATAAATATTATAGAAAAGAAAGGATACGGGGTATCGATCCATGACACAAAATCAGTATATACACAGCAAAAAAACACAAAAAGCAAAGGAACTGTGCTTTTATTGCTGTTCTTCATCTCAAAGTCACAGTGAAGCCTGCAGCACGGAGCAATCAAACTCTCACCTCACTGCAATTTTAAGACGGCCCCTAGCAAGAGTGTGTATGGAATTCTTTGAAAACTGACGATCACGCCAAAACTGTGAATTGAAGTACAAAGCCATGAAGTAATATCAATAAAATAAATCTGGCAACGAAATCAAACATTTACTGTCATAATTTAGCCCGACAATCACACTGTAGAGTGCAAAAAAAACCAGTACAAAATCTAGATTTGACAAACTGAAGTATTATTGTAACAGTGTTTTGGAGGACATAATTCTTTTGATGAATGGATATTTATAGAAAATTGATTTATTGAAAAAAAAAATGAAATGGAATAAATGAAATGCCCGAGTGCATCAGAATAAAAAATAAGAAGATGTGGTATAATTGCCAATGAGACAGCACTCCACCAGAGACCAAATGACATAGAACTTAACAACTATAGGTCACCGTATGGCCTTTAACAATGCGCAAAACCCATACCGCAAAGTCAGCTATAAAAAGCCCCGAAATGACAAATATAAAACAATTCAAACGAGAAAACTAACGGCCTGATTTATGTACAAAACAATGAACGAAAAACATATATGATATACAGCAACAAACGACAACTACTGAATTACAGGCTCCTGACTTGGGACAGGCACATACAGAATGTTGTTGGGTGAAACATATTTGAAGGCCCCAACCCTCGCCTAACCTGGGACAATGGTGCAACAGCACAACACAAGAACAAACTATACAAAACAATAAACGAAAAACAAATATGAGAAACAGTAATAAACAACAACAGCTCAATTAAAGACTCCTGACTTCGGACAGGCACATATAGAATGTGGCGGGATTAAACATGTTTGCGGGCGCTCAACCCTCCCCTAACTTTGGACAGTGGTGTAACAGCACAACATATGAACAAACTATAAAAATAAGTTGAAATGGGCTTAACTCATCAGATCGATACAAAGCAAAAGAAGTAACAAAAACACAGACCGGGCGTGGCAGGGTATTTATACATCCCACAACAACAAAAACACAATATTCCTTATTTATATAAAGGTACAAGGATGAGTCTAGAGCAAACTATATGGGTTAATGTGTACATGACCATTGCAGCAAGTTAATCACATACATATAAGTTATGTTTTGGTTTTTTTCATCGCGAATTCAAAACATTAAGTCTGTCTTGTAAGATTTTTTATGTGATTTTGAATGACTTGCTCTTGGTCTCGATTCTATTGCCCCCCTCCTATGTTGTTATACGACAAGACATTGAATACAATACTAGTACTTGACAACGACTGAAATCTCATCAACAATTCCGGATATCAGGAATGCTAATATTTACTCAGATTTGACATTTGCAAAGCAAACTAATCATGAATTTTATATTTACTATAGCCAATATTTTTTAACAAGTCCATGATTAGTCATACTAAGTGTCTAACACAAGTTGTCAAGTTTGAACAAACATAATTCAAGGCAAACCAAATAGTGAATTAGGTAAACAAATCATTACGTAATATTATTTCCGGGGAAACAAGTTAACATTAAATCAATGTGCTTCTAGAACAGACACAACTTCCCGACGACAATTAAGAATTGAATAAGCTCATAAGTTATAGATAATTATTATTTTCAAACATGAAAGTAGAGATTAATTTGCTAAATGTCACTATTACAATTCAGGAGGGTCTGGATGGAGGGTCCTTCGTTTTTGTATTCTTTAATTTTTGAGGGGCATTTTTCTTTATCTTTAATAGTAATGCTTATTCTGTAAAATTTTCATGTCGCATGAACATCATTTTACAATTAGATTTATTTGTTATTACATGATTTCTTTATTCTGTACATGGTCCATTTCTGTAATCAATATTTCATTACCTAATTCTTTTATTTTTCAGTTATTCTTTTTTTCTGCTGCACCCTATTATTCTCTATTCTTTATTTTTTTCTCATTTTTCTCTATTCATTAATTTTTTTAGCCATTATTCTCTATTCTGTAAACCACATTCAGACCCTTATTCAGTTAGGAAATACTATGCACGGTCTCGAGCAGAGTTACGGGTAAATATTATTTCTTATCTGACCGTGGGTTGCTCATATTATGGTCAATTTTTTGTGGTGCTCAAACGTCACATAATTAGAATTATTTATTAACATCTCTGTTATTAGACTTAATATTATGATACCTCTCTTTGTCAACTCGGCCAATTTGATTTGTCTCGTCTGAGATACAGGGTTTCAGGATGTTTATGGATTTTAGATCCAAAGTTATGATGAATATAAACTTAATATAAACTGCCGTTTGGAAGACGTGTTTCATTTATACACCAAAAATTATGCCTCAGGCCAATACAGCAAGCCTCGAAACAATAACAAGTCCAATACATAAATATTCACATAATAATATCGTAAAACATGTTGTAACGTCATTGATAGACGACTCCATAAAACTAAACAACAGAAGGATATGATAAAGATACTGCAAAAGGCTCATACAGGTAGTATACGGGTCTTCAAACGTAGGTTTTCAGTCCATTTGGATCGTCAAATACAAAATGTAGCAGAAAAACATTTGGTCTATATCATGTGTATGACTTTTTATTTTTCAAAAACAGAACATGTTTTGATTGAAATTAGCCTCACAAGGGGATACATGTATAACTCCGGTCTTTTGAGCTTGACACAAAGTACGGTGACTCCATTTTTTCTTTAACTTTAACCCCCTCTCCCTTTTTTTTACACACAAAAAAAGCTATGAGAGCTATCTCCCCCTACTATAATTCAAAGTTTTGCAACTTCTTCAAATAATTATGCTGCTTTTTCCCTGTAAAATCCTTACAAAATGTGTCAATTGTTCACAATATATAGCTTTAAACAAGACAAGCTTGTTCTGTTGTCTTATTGGAAATCATACCACATCTCATTATTTTCTATTGATGACCAATCATTTTATTATATTGATGAAAATAGCACGAAATAAATAACATTTGGGCAAAATATGAATAAATCTGTCATTTTTTAGATTATACCCATTCCACCTTTATGACCAGTTAGCGTATACAGATGTCTCACTCTTTTTGTAGGTATGGCAAAACTCCATGTTCTGCTGTTCTCAAGTTTTTAAAAATCGTGTCTGTTTGTTAGTTTTTTTTATTTATTTATGCTTGGTACCGGATCTGATGAGTCCTACCCTTTCCAACTGGTTTACAGCTTATTCTTATGTTATATATTGTTACACCTCCGTCCAAGGTTAGGGGATTGAACACTTACAAATACGCTTGACCCTGTCACATTCTGTATGCGCCTGTCCTAAGTCAGGAGGAGCATGTAATCCAGTGCTTGTTTATGATTGCTGACTTGGAAAGGATTTGTATAGATTTTGTCTTTTGTCTTTCGTTTAAATGCACATTTGAAGTTTAAACAATTTGAATTGCTCTCTCCTATAACCGTTTTCGGTAATTGTTGAAATACGAATATTCTTATGGAAATTTGCTGCTATAAAATTTTGGAAATCATTCTAAATTGAGGAATGTATATCCCTCTTGTTCTGATTCCTTGTCCGAGCTTGGCTTTACTTTTGGTCTCTTTTTAATTAATTTTATTTTTTGCATTTAGCATTACTGATGGGATAATTATTGTCACAGTGCCCATATTGTGCATTGAAATTGGTTCTGTTAATGTAAGTGTTGAAGTATAACTCAGGTTTTATCTTTGAATTGTTTTACATTTGTGTATGGCGGTGCTTTTTACAGCTTTACGGCATGGTTTATTCTCTTGTTGAAGGCTGTACCGTGACCTGCAATTGTTCATATATTTCCTTTGGTCTATAAGGATACATGTAGTTATCTCATTGGGAATCATACCGCATCTCCACATGGTTATACTTATTACGCTGAAACTATGAAATAAAAAGTGCACAATTTCTTTTGGAACTGAAGATTTTCTGAACTCAAATCAATGGTTACGAGAAGATGAACGGACGGAAGACCGGAAGAAAGAATATAACTTAACATCCCGAACCTTCCCTTTTACGAGTATATAACGGACAAACGACGGGCGAATGGTCGATCTAACAGACGATAGGATCACACGCGTTGTCAACGTATATTTGTTCCACCTAACAGAAGTTCCCATGATAACTTTGTTACAAACAATGCCATAATATCTGTTCCTATTGGATTAAATATTCTATACTCTTTATTCCGTAAGGAACAAATATTGTTATATTGGAAATAATATTGCAGAATATTTCTTCCACTTGGAACTTTTAATTTGAAGGAACTTAAAAACACTTCACTAGGCTGGATATATGATTTATAAAGATTTGATTATCTTCTATACATGGTACTTTCAAGAGCTTTATAGCGGATGAACAAACCGATCCTATATTCCATCTACAACCTAAGCTTGTTCTGAAATAACTATAATCGTTTATTTTTATTTATATTTATCTAATGTCAATATGTCTTTCAAGTGTTTTTATATTGTTCTCTTGTCGTACTATTTATGTATACCCTAAGCACATGTTTATACTTCTATATGGTTAGCCGTGATTGTCCATATTTACCTTATATCTGGCGATCTCTGAGAATTCTGATAACTCATGTAAAGACACCATTGACCGGTTGTTGGCTTTCTCTGAACCTTTAACAATGTCTGGCTTATCACTGAATACTCCTCCTCTCTGACTCTGTAACGATTATTTATCATGGGATTTGTACATATGTAGTGGTTACTTTTTCCATTATCACATAAATTGCTGTAAATTGATCCTTTCTTTGTCATAACATCCAGCAATTTATCAAAATGAAGGATCCAGAGATCGATCAGTAATTTTTCTAACAAATTTTGGTCATATGTGAAGGATTATAGTATTTATCCATACTCAGTTATTCATTAAAGACATGATTTTACGAAAACATGGTCAAATTGAGTCTCAAGAAAGCACAATAGCTGAACGTTTTTGAACTTTAGTATACGTAGCTAAGAGAACAGGTATACAGTTCTTTAAAAATGAAATGACAGTTCAGTGATCAGTACTAAAATGATTTCTTATTAATATTTCAGAAAAAAAAAAGAATATCACTTCCTTAGCGAATAAAACTTTTCAAATTTGTTTTTGCTATTAAAGGTCTCCACATATGAAATCATGTTAGAGCGACCTTTAGTCTTAAAAACATTAACACTTCATTAAACAATTCAGACTTTATTTTCAAACATAATTTTAAGATGCAACTCTTTTTATTCATCATATATAATAATTGATCTATACGCTCTCATTGTATTCATTCATATTTAGAAGTGCTGTATACTATACACAAGGACTTGTTTTGTATAGTTATAGTATACACTTGTTTTGTATAGTTATAGTATGCACTTGTTTTGTATAGTTATAGTATACACTTGTTTTGTATAGTTATAGTATACACTTGTTTTGTATAGTTATAGTATGCACTTGTTTTGTATAGTTATAGTATACACTTGTTTTGTATAGTTATAGTATACACTTGTTTTGTATAGTTATAGTATACACTTGTTTTGTATAGTTATAGTATACACTTGTTTTGTATAGTTATAGTATGCACTTGTTTTGTATAGTTATAGTATACACTTGTTTTGTATAGTTATAGTATGCACTTGTTTTGTATAGTTATAGTATGCACTTGTTTTGTATAGTTATAGTATGCACTTGTTTTGTATAGTTATAGTATGCACTTGTTTTGTATAGTTATAGTATGCACTTGTTTTGTATAGTTATAGTATGCACTTGTTTTGTATAGTTATAGTATACACTTGTTTTGTATAGTTATAGTATACACTTGTTTTGTATAGTTATAGTATGCAATACCATTATTGACAGTTGGAGTCAATATAGATGATAAGAACAATACATTTTATGATACAGCCAAATTTCACAACATAAAGCAAAAACAACTAGTTATTTATCTAACTGTTCGTCAATGAACAAAAACAACAGACAGTCACTTACTAGTATACAACTTTAAAAAAAAACAGCTATAGCTACTTATAAACTGTTACCAATGAACATAAACAAACAGCTAGTCACTTACAAAACTGTTATCAATGAACAAAAACAAATAGCTGGTCACTTATTTAAATGTTACTGAATGAACAAACAAAAATAAGTTATTGAGCTTCTTATATCCTTCCGTTCATTGTAATACGGTGCTAAATCAATAACATGATAACCATTGATTAAACGTTGTTATTTTGAAATTCTAATGCAAAATTAAACCGTAATGAGATGAGAGTGGATTTAGAAAGAAAATAGATTCCTGTTCAAAAACAAAGGAAATTTTGTTTTATCATGATCGTTTTAAAAAAAAACCACACAGAACGCTGCTAGAAAATCTTTTTCCGATTGCCCGAAAAATCACAATCAATATTAACCATAAGCTTTCCCTTTCCCTAGAGAATAAAATAGTTGATGCCTTGAGAAGATTCTTGTGTAATATATCAATTGATTTTATGTTACTATTGACAATAGAACTGACATATGTAAATGGTTTCATCTTTTTTTTTCGGATTAGCTTTTCTTGAACCTGAAGAAATGGGTGACGGTTTTCCTGAGGATTTAATTTTTGATATACCAAGTGACAAACTAAATAAGAATGTATGACAATGTGTTCTCTTGGTACATGAGTGTTGTGCATTGTTTCCATTTTTGTATTTGTAGAGAATTTATAAGACATACTTGACTGATGTTAAGTAAGGAAACCTACAGAATATAAGAAGGGACTTACCAAATTATCAAGTTTTGCTGATTTTATGTTTTTTCTATGTAAAAATGTCAAATCTGAAAGCTGGAAAATAATTTTATTCGGACCTTTTGTCATCAATCTGTCTGCATGCTTCCTCCTAAAAAATAAATATCTAGAACTCACGGTTCCCTGGAAATGAAGATGATCAATCAAATTCAAATTATTTGAAAAAGAAACACTCACCAAAGAGCTACTACATAAAGATATGTTCCTCTTCTACATCGTTATTGACCACATACTTTCTACTGTTACCTCAATAATACATACAGATATGTTCCTCTTCACACATCGTTATTAAACACATACTTTCTACTGTTACCTCAATAATACATACAAATATGTTCCTCTCCAACATCGTAATTGACCATATACTTTCTACTGTTACCTCAATAATACATACAGATATGTTCCTCTTCACACATACTTTCTACTGTTACCTCAATAATACATACAGATATGTTCCTCTTCACACATACTTTCTACTGTTACCTCAATAATACATACAGATATGTTCCTCTTCCACATCGTTATTGACCACGTACTTTCTACTGTTATCTCAATAAAACATACAGATATGTTCCTCTTCACACATACTTTCTACTGTTACCTCAATAATACATACAGATATGTTCCTCTTCACACATACTTTCTACTGTTATCTCAATAATACATACAGATATGTTCCTCTTCACACATACTTTCTACTGTTACCTCAATAATACATACAGATATGTTCCTCTTCACACATACTTTCTACTGTTATCTCAATAATACATACATATATGTTCCTCTTTGACATCGTTACTGACCACATACTTTCTACTGTTTCCTCAATAATACATACAGATATGTTCCTCTTCACACATACTTTCTACTGTTATCTCAATAATACATACAGATATGTTCCTCTTCACACATACTTTCTGCTGTTATCTCAATAATACATACAGATATGTTCCTCTTCACACATACTTTCTACTGTTACCTCAATAATACATACAGATATGTTCCTCTTCACACATACTTTCTACTGTAACCTCAATAATACATACAGATATGTTCCTCTTCACACATACTTTCTACTGTTACCTCAATAATACATACAGATATGTTCCTCTTCACACATACTTTCTACTGTTATCTCAATAATACATACAGATATGTTCCTCTTCTACATCGTTATTGACTACGTACTTTCTACTGTTACCTCAATAAAACATACATATATGTTCCTCTTCACACATACTTTCTACTGTTACCTCAATAATACATACAGATATGTTCCTCTTCCACATCGTTATTGACCACATACTTTCTACTGTTACCTAAATAGTACATACAGATATGTTCCTCTTCACACATACTTTCTACTGTTACCTAAATAATACATACAGATATGTTCCTCTTCCACATCGTTATTGACCACCTACTTTCTACTGTTATCTCAATAATACATACATATATGTTCCTCTTTCACATCGTTACTGACCACATACTTTCTACTGTTACCTCAATAATACATACAGATATGTTCCTCTTCACACATACTTTCTACTGTTATCTCAATAATACATACAGATATGTTCCTCTTCACACATACTTTCTACTGTTACCTCAATAATACATACAGATATGTTCCTCTTCACACATACTTTCTACTGTTACCTCAATAATACATACAGATATGTTCCTCTTCACACATACTTTCTACTGTTACCTCAATAATACATACAGATATGTTCCTCTTCACACATCGTTATTAAACACATACTTTCTACTGTTACCTCAATAATACATACAGATATGTTCCTCTTCACACATACTTTCTACTGTTACCTCAATAATACATACAGATATGTTCCTCTTCACACATACTTTCTACTGTTACCTCAATAATACATACAGATATGTTCCTCTTCACACATACTTTCTACTGTTACCTCAATAATACATACAGATATGTTCCTCTTCCACATCGTTATTGACCACGTACTTTCTACTGTTATCTCAATAACACATACAGATATGTTCCTCTTCACACATACTTTCTACTGTTACCTCAATAATACATACAGATATGTTCCTCTTCACACATACTTTCTACTGTTATCTCAATAATACATACAGATATGTTCCTCTTCACACATACTTTCTACTGTTACCTCAATAATACATACAGATATGTTCCTCTTCACACATACTTTCTACTGTTATCTCAATAATACATACATATATGTTCCTCTTTGACATCGTTACTGACCACATACTTTCTACTGTTTCCTCAATAATACATACAGATATGTTCCTCTTCACACATACTTTCTACTGTTATCTCAATAATACATACAGATATGTTCCTCTTCACACATACTTTCTGCTGTTATCTCAATAATACATACAGATATGTTCCTCTTCACACATACTTTCTACTGTTACCTCAATAATACATACAGATATGTTCCTCTTCACACATACTTTCTACTGTAACCTCAATAATACATACAGATATGTTCCTCTTCACACATACTTTCTACTGTTACCTCAATAATACATACAGATATGTTCCTCTTCACACATACTTTCTACTGTTATCTCAATAATACATACAGATATGTTCCTCTTCTACATCGTTATTGACTACGTACTTTCTACTGTTACCTCAATAAAACATACATATATGTTCCTCTTCACACATACTTTCTACTGTTACCTCAATAATACATACAGATATGTTCCTCTTCCACATCGTTATTGACCACATACTTTCTACTGTTACCTAAATAGTACATACAGATATGTTCCTCTTCACACATACTTTCTACTGTTACCTCAATAATACATACAGATATGTTCCTCTTCCACATCGTTATTGACCACGTACTTTCTACTGTTATCTCAATAATACATACATATATATATGTTCCTCTTTCACATCGTTACTGACCACATACTTTCTACTGTTTCCTCAATAATACATACAGATATGTTCCTCTTCACACATACTTTCTACTGTTATCTCAATAATACATACAGATATGTTCCACTTCACACATACTTTCTACTGTTACCTCAATAATACATACAGATATGTTCCTCTTCACACATACTTTCTACTGTTACCTCAATAATACATACAGATATGTTCCTCTTCACACATACTTTCTACTGTTACCTCAATAATACATACAGAAATGTTCCTCTTCACACATCGTTATTAAACACATACTTTCTACTGTTACCTCAATAATACATACAGATATGTTCCTCTTCACACATACTTTCTACTGTTACCTCAATAATACATACAGATATGTTCCTCTTCACACATACTTTCTACTGTTACCTCAATAATACATACAGATATGACCCTCTTCACACATACTTTCTATTGTTATCTCAATAATACATACAGATATGTTCCACTTCACACATACTTTCTACTGTTACCTTAATAAAACATACAGATATGTTCCTCTTCACACATACTTTCTACTGTTACCTCAATAATACATAAAGATATGTTCCGCTTCCACATCGTTATTGACCACATACTTTCTACTGTTACCTAAATAAAACATACAGATATGTTCCTCTTCACACATACTTTCTACTGTTACCTCACTAATACATAAAGATATGTTCCGCTTCCACATCGTTATTGACCACATACTTTCTACTAGTACCTCAATAATACATACAGTTAGGATCAGTTCTAACCTCTCTAGAAATCTTTCAGGAATTGTTAAGTAAATGTTTGGACAGTGTTACCCTAGACCAGTGAAACACCCGACCTCGCTCCTTTTTTTGGGGTTTATGTGATTCCCTCAAATTCCTTTTGTTACCTTAATTTGAATCTTCTAAATCGATTTTAAATATGCCTTTCATGCAGTGAAAATCAGTAAATAACCCCTGACGTCCTCAACGACTAGACCTGTTCTTACCATATAGGTAATAAAATAGTGACTCGTGTTACATCAGTCTTTAGTTTTATATGTAGTCTTTTGTGAACTTGTTCGTCTTTTCGTCGTTTTTTGGTTTATTTTTTAGCCATGGCGTCATCAGTCTCTTTAGACATTTTAGTTTTGAATGTCCCCTTTGTATATCTTCCGCCTCTTTTTTGTACAAGTATATGTACAATCAACGAATTTGTTATCAATGTACTACTATATTACTACTCATATGCCTTATCCGTATACTTATGGACTATCGATGGTCTTTTAAACGAGAGGATGTTTCTCTGCTACATGAGACGTGGCCGAGAAACATCCTTGAGTTTGAAAGACCATTGATAATCTGTTTATCACTAGTTTGCCTATAACATTGTTGGTATTTACATTGACAACGGCATGAAAGAAATTATCGCTAAAACCTATTCTTATGGTGTTGGCCTGTTATCTATTTCTTGCATGAAGAAATATTTCTCGTATCACACTGCATAAAGTGTGATACGAAAACTGCGTTAATTTGATTGGCTTATCCAGCATCATGAGACGATATTACGACAATTCTATTGGCTATTCGTTAGGTCAGTGATGATATTCAAAGGTTAAGACGATGTACATTTCGTCCATGGCAACGAACATATGTGATTTTTTCAATAATACACAAAGCATTCACACTTTTCACCTAAAAATCTTTTTTTTTTTGTAAAATTTTATTACATGCTAAGGCATACAAAAAGTTTTAAAATGTCTGATGTTAAAGTTTGACGCCGGAACGGGACATATGACGTCATACTGGAATTCACGGAATTTTTCATTTAACTCAATGAGAGTGTTGACCATAAGAGAAATAGGTTTAACAACTCGTGAGAATAGGATAGATCTATCGCTTGATATCAACTCGAGTTAACTAATTTCAATATAATAATAAACTCGATAAGGCTCGTTTGTTATTATATTGAAATCAAATAACTCGATATGATATCAAGCGATATCCAATTCTCACTCGTTATGAAACCTATAGATCTCATTCGAGTAGCATGATATGAAAAAATTATCATAAAAAAAGATCAAAGGAAAAATACACAAAATAGCGGTAATTACCTATAATTCCGCCTTCACTATAATTACTAAATTGTTGTTTGGTATGTTATATATTGATGAAAATATACATTAATATATTACCATATGTAGACTAGGATTAGTCCAATTATAACTGCAAGAGCCACAGCCCCTAGTGGAGATGCAACCGCTAAAACCAAGTTTATTCCTACAAAAAATAAAGCTGTTTGACAGCGAACGTAAAGGTGAAAGGAAGACAATCAACCAACACTATTATAAAACTGTGACTTGTCTACAATTGGGGTATTTTGTTTGTATAATTGGCTTTCACAAAAGAACGTTATTTTTCGTTCTTCTGTTAAGTTGCCGTCTTATATTTGTTGTATCTCCTTTTAGATTATTTTTGTTAGCCTTGAACAAGGACAATTGTCATTAGGCAAGCTCTGAATTTCTCCGACTTAAAGCAGTTAGGTTCATATTATGCTTAATAATATGTGTTTGACAATTACCAAAACAAACGTGTTCTACGAAAAGTGAATAAGCAAATAAAATCTACAATTATTTGAAATAATTGCGAAAATATCATTACATTTGATGATAGAACAACCACAAAATTAATTGGTACCTAAACATGTTGTCAGTATTCGCTTACAATAAATGTGATTATTATTATCAATATTCATTTGTTTTCCCGAGTGGTAGTATTCAACATACTTGGTTATATATACATATATCTTAACTATATATGACCCTGGTTTCCTAATTATATACCTTCATATATATCTTGCCGCGATATAGTCTTTTTGTGCTGATGCAGCGTAAAGCAATCACCAATCAACCAATCAATCATTTACAAATGTATATCCTTTTTGAAGTTAGTGGTCACCCTGCTGGAAGCTTGAATATGTAGGTTTTTTGTGTGTTATTTCTAACGAATAATGGTCTACAAAAGTTAATGGAATGTTTGTGCACACTTAAAATAGTTTGAAGCCCACTACATTTTGTGCCGGTACCCTACACTAACTACATGTTGTGTCGGTACCCTACACTAACTACATGTTGTGCCGGTACCCTACACTATCTACATGTTGTGCCGGTACCCTACACTAACTACATGTTGTGCCGGTACCCTACACTAACTACATGTTGTGCCGGTACCCTACACTAACTACATGTTGTGCCGGTACCCTACACTAACTACATGTTGTGCCGGTACCCTACACTAACTACATGTTGTGTCGGTACCCTACACTAACTACATGTTGTGTCGGTACCCTACACTAACTACATGTATATGTTACAAACGACAAGGATGTAAATAACTATAGGTTACAGTTTAACCTTCAACAATGAGCAAAATCCATACCGCATAGTAAGCTATTAAAGGTACTAATATGACAAAGTGTGAAAAAATACAAAAGAGAAAATAAATGGCCTGATTTATGCTAAAAATAATAACCGAAAAACAAGCAAGGGTCATACAACAACCAACGACAACCACTACATTAAGGGTACATTCCGGTACGTAACTGAACATACTTTCATAAAAGTTTATTATAGTCTGAAGAAACACAAATTGTCGATTTTTTATTTTTAGTTGTGCAACTCTATCTAACCCACTGGGTACAACAAAACCAACCACGTATGTCTCATTTTTATATCTTACTATTTGTTGGCATTGTACCAAAAGAGGTCTTAATACCAAGTATAAAAGATCAGATTTTTTTTTCAATATTAAATAAGTTCCATTTTCCGCGTCTCCGTCAGGTTGTTATATGAAGTACAAAGACTTGTATCAATGATATGACTGTAACGAGAGGAAATATTCAATGTGACATTCACTGCGATGTCAATGGTTGACCTAAAACAATGAGTAGGGAGGTTGGGTGCAACAATTAAATACCACTGTATTCATATTTGCTGTCGTGAGATAACAGTTAAATGGTGAATTAAACACAAAACTAGGGGCCGATTTCCACAACTTAAATATCACTATTTTCATGTCTGTTGTGAAGAGGTTAATTAAACACAAAACAAGGTCATAACAGTAACTCTTAAACATCACTGTTTTCATGTTTGCTGTTTTGGGGTGAATTGAACCGAACAGTAACTGTTTGGCTGTGCGGGATGTACAAGTACGCAGCCATGTCCGACCAGAATGAGGACGTTAAATCCGATGACTCTTGTAAAGAGAGTGCATACTCTTTGTACATTAAGAACCCGTGTAACAACTCTTTGAGGAGTCGGGGCCTCGGTGGTCGAGTGGTCTAGGTAGTTACTACTGTAATCACTAGCCAGTCAACACTGAGGTTGTGAGTTCGAACCCCGCTCGTGCGGGTGCACTCGACTCTAATCTTAATTGACTAGGATTGTCAGTTTTCCTATCGTAGGTCGGTGGTTTTCTCCGGGCACTCCGGCTTCTTCCACCAATAAAAACTGGCCGCCACGAAATAGCCCAAAAGCGGTGCTTAAAAGTGGCATTAAAAACACAAAAAATCAAATCAAATCAAATCTTTGAGGAGTCCGTAGTAATTTATGTCCCTATCTAATATACCCTCATTTTCCAATGGTAGTCCAAATTTCCCCAACCTCCATCCCGGACGCCCTCTATTACAGGACCCACCTATCCCATTTATTGTTAATTTGTCATCGTCCTGAAGATGCATGAAATATTTGCCACTTGACATTAAGAAAACAACAATTAATCATAGCAAGATATAACTCAGTGTTTATGGGATAATGTTTTTCGAAGTTTTTGTTTGGTATTGTTACTTTATATTTCCTAGTTTGAATGTTTCGGCTATGTAATGCCTACTGCATATTCTATTATTGATTGCTTGTTCTTACTTTCACTTTTCATTGAAGGAATGCCACATTATGAACAAGAAATGATTATAGTCACTTAATATGACGCAGCATTCTACGAGTTCTTCAAAGAGTTCCATCATCTTACCTTTAGTATCCATGTTGACATTTTAATAGCCTTTTTTGTAACTTTCATTGAAAATACTGATAGTAAAAGAATATTACCAGAATCACTGGAGCAAGAATCGTCATGGAAACATTTGTCAGGTTGTAGAACGTTGTTCCCTGGCCACAATATTTCCTTTATGGAAATATGCTCCCAAGATCCCTCATTATTAACCGTCAAATATCGTGCTAATTTGAAAGTATTTGTGACTGGATCATAGTCAAACAACCCAAAGTCCAAATATCTTTCACCTTCCAATGGCATGAATTTCAACGTTCGATTCTCGTTTAGAAATGTGCTTGTTTTTGAGTGATATGTTATACTGGCACTGTCAAACCCTGTGCTCCCCAATTGGAGTGATTTCTTGTAACCTTGTGCGATTATTGACGAAATGTCGCTAAAAGATTCTTTATAGTTGGTGAATGTCTGCTCGAAGAAAATGTTTGGCACAATCGGTAATATCACAAAACAGCTCTCTAGCACTCTGGAGACGTTTGGCAAATTGATGAACGTAGAAATTATGTAATCAATGCTCTTATAGGGATCACGTGACACGATAAAAAAGGAATGTTTTTCTTTCTCTGTCCATTTATTGATTTCTGGGAGAATTAATTCAATGCCAGTATGCTCCATTGCAAGAATTATCGCTGTAAAGAAAAATATTAGTCGTGTTAATTAATAGTTTTGAAACTGAATGATAGGAATGAAATGTTCCGAGTGAACATCCATCATTTGTTGTGTGTAATACCGGTGGAGTCGGTTTACGTTATGAACAAATACTGCAATAGTATAGATTGAAAAGAACGATTACGAAAGCTGACATAACTTTGATTGATTGAACCAATTACGCATCTGTAGAAATTGAAGACGAGTATTTATTATGTATAAACTGAGAACCCAACAGAGACAGTGTTATCATTTATCTCAGACAAATCACTGATAAGTTTTTTAAGTTGAAGTATAACATGCATAGTCAATCTCACGAAAAGTTTAGGTTAGATTTGTATACAAATGTATTTCAACGTTATAAAGAAGACTTTCAATACTGTGACATCAAATGTAAGGCTTATATGGTCACTTCGACTTCTTGTATCTAGTCGAGATAGATATGCGCTGATAGCTGTACAGGATGAATAAATACGCATTCACATCCATTCAGAATGAGATGTTAAATCCGACACCTAGATTTTGCAGATTGACACCGTAAAGAACATAAAAGAACCCTAGCGATAACATTTGTAGGTTTCTGTAGGTGATCTATTTGCAAGACAAAAGGTATAAAACCACTAATTCATAGCCCCATTGCTTTCTATGTTAAATTCTGCAATTTCAAGCATAAATGGCTACTTTGTCTTAAGTTCAAATAAAGTGGCAGTTATTTCATGTCAAAACTGTACCTTATGCTGACTTGTGCTGAAAAAATCAACATACCTTTAATTGCATATTAGAGTGTACTGGTTCCCGGAAGTTTGATAGTACAAAAACAGGAACTTCTGATCTGAACAACAGGCCAAATGAGCCCTCCTATAAAATTTCATATACTTCTTTATTATTCAAATAAAACTTTCAACAAGGGTTCTACAGTGATCCCAAGTCCCCAAGCTTTCATTTGATACTAAAACTACCCAAATATCCCCACTATTGACAAAGATACAGCTATGCGTAGGAACTATTTTGTTTAAAATATGTACTACTTTCTTGTATGTTCTTTCCGACCGGGCCTGAATTAGTGGTTCTATACCTATAACAGCACCAAACTTGTTATATTGACTTCTGCTTGACTTAATTTCCTTCTATGATCTATTTCTAGCATAGAAAAACACATAAAGCTTTGTCAAAACACTATATCACTGAATTCAAGCTCAAATTGGACTGGTAGTAACGTATGCGTTAAACAAAGAAAACTACATATGGATACCAATAGTGACAGATATGACACTTTTTCAATTTTTACCAGTTCTGATTTGTTAATATCTACTCAAATAACAGTGTTTTTACCTATATGTCTTATTTTTATCAGAGATTCTTCCTTGAATATAAATACAGTGGTCCAAACATAAAATATAATTGATAATTTTGTCCCCCCTTTTTTCTACATGTTGGAAAAGGAGAGTGATTTGGTAAAAAAAACATACTTTTATGTATAAACATGGATCAACAAGAGCAATTTATGTATTTCTAAGCTAGACAACTTGCTAAAATGGTTATAAAATGCATTTCAAGAGAGATTTTGGAATTCCTATATAAGTATACACCAATTTTCCTTGAAATAAATAATTCACCAAGAAACACAATAAAACTTGAACACTCACTAGATAATTTGACCAAAAACAATATTTATACTATAAACTAGTCATAATATACAAGTTTCATTGGTTTCAGTGTTAGATAATCCAAAAATTTAAATTTCAGGTAAAATCTTAACTGTGTGCATGCTAAATGACCAAAAAAGGCTAAACTACCTTATTGTAGCAATTTGAGGGCTGTAATTTGACACTAACATAATTGTTAAATAAAAAAAATAATGTAACATGATTTCTGACAACAAATGTGACCAATTTTCACTGTAAAGGGTATGATTTCTAAAAATAGAATTTCACATGCCTGTCAGTAATAGGTATAAAACCACTAATTCATAGCCCCATTGCTTTCTATGTTAAATTCTGCAATTTCAAGCATAAATGGCTACTTTGTCTTAAGTTCAAATAAAGTGGCAGTTATTTCATGTCAAAACTGTACCTTATGCTGACTTGTGCTGAAAAAATCAACATACCTTTAATTGCATATTAGAGTGTACTGGTTCCCGGAAGTTTGATAGTACAAAAACAGGAACTTCTGATCTGAACAACAGGCCAAATGAGCCCTCCTATAAAATTTCATATACTTCTTTATTATTCAAATAAAACTTTCAACAAGGGTTCTACAGTGATCCCAAGTCCCCAAGCTTTCATTTGATACTAAAACTACCCAAATATCCCCACTATTGACAAAGATACAGCTATGCGTAGGAACTATTTTGTTTAAAATATGTACTACTTTCTTGTATGTTCTTTCCGACCGGGCCTGAATTAGTGGTTCTATACCAAAATACCTTTCCCATATCCAACATACAGTGGCAGTCAAAATTGTCTGTCTTTCATAGCGGTCGACCAACTTTAAGAAATTATCAAATTGTTTCCTGAATATGCATGTAAAAGTTGCCGTATCTTTTTTTTTTAAACAAATGATGTGGGTAAGACGTCTATGACAAAATATAATTTACTCGCGGTCTCGACAAGTTATGAAAATTCACCGACGACCTGAAATCAATGCCAAAACTAAGTTAACTGTGGTTTTTCATTTTTTCCATGTGGTCATGTTGTTCAAAGTTTTCGACTAATGATTAGATTGACGCCTTGGTTTCTTTTTCCTGTTTCCACATAGATGATTTCTTTTGTACAATATATGATTTAGAACCTCTATAAACGCGTGTGGCACTTTATATTATGTTTTTAGGTAAGGTAAGAATTCTGGTCATGTCTATACAAGTCAAGGCTACAGGCAACTTAATTTCTTCCCTTTTATGATTGATATTTCTTTTTATAGCAGGCACTAAATGCTAATACAAAAAAGAGGACAATATCCTTGCCGATTTTACAAAAAAAATTACATTGCGCTTAAATGCATTTATTATTCAAATTACATCAAAATCGGTGGGTATTCATAAACAGACACATTGAAATCCCCACTCTAAACACCCAAGAAAGGAAAAGCTATTTATTTCAAATTCTGTTGATTTATCAAAAATATCCTGTATGTGTGGTATATTGAACCTAATTGCCGATTTTTTTAACCGTAAAATGTTTGGTCGATGCTTTAAATTTTTATACTATGAAGTTACATCTTTAGGTTGGGTAAAAAAGTACACTAGTTTTTAGATTGGTATACTTATTTATTAATGCGATTGGGTAATTTGGTTAATCCCCCCTCCCTCATACCATCCTCGCCACACAGAATTAGACATTTGTAACATAGTAACACCGTCGATTTGTAAAATATTGCAAGTTACTCCTTGATGACATATTTCTGGATTAAAAGTAACAATTTTGCTTGAACTTTCCAAAACTATATACAACATGGATGTTAAAGTAGCTTACAAATTAAATATTTCAAAAGACATACAATTGCTCGTATCTCTAGATAATACTCAAATGAAATATTAACTCTTTAACTTGTGTTTTCGCCATGTTATAAACTAGAGAAATCAACAGAACAAAATTTGAAAAAGTGAAATTTCAGCATCGATGTTTCGAAATATTTGAAAGGTAGATAATTTAGATTTCTAAATACGACGAAAGTCCATGTGGTTCATCGGATGAAATGGTTTATTATTCTAATTTCCGAGAGCACTTCCAGCAAATGTTGTTAAATATCATCTCAAGAATTGACTTGTGTGTAAGTTGATAATTTAATCACACATTGTAATCATTATAACTAAATTTGCTGTGCCATTTCATGTTATATTTAACACTGTGCGTGTTTGATCATTGTAATTGAAAAAAAAATTCCTTTCCAATACTGTTTGACATTATTTTTTCATAACAATAGGATTATTCAATACAATTTTTTTTTAAATCAAACTGATTTAAAAGATGAATTTTCCCACCAAATCGTGTGTGAGCATATAAATACTTATATAATAGTATGCGCTTCATACAAAATGTGTTTCGGTCATCGCTTTTACATTCCAATGAAATTATGAAAAAAGCATTCAATAATCAATAATCAATAATTACATTACATGTATGTTTCACGAGAATCCGTTAGTTTGGTTGGCTATCAACAATCGCGCGTCATTCAAAAATTAACCTTCATTTCAAAATGAAATGTTACATTCGTGATGACACGTGCTTCCACAAAGAGTGCACACTGTCAGGTAAATAAAAGAAAAACTTGATAAAACTTTTTGTTCAAGTTCTTATTAGCATAAAAATGTAATTATAAGAAATGAATGCTTCTTTTTGTAATTTTATTGGGGTGTAAAAGTGTTGACCGAAGCAAATTTTGTATGAAGCGCTTAAATAAAGAACGACAGATCCATACTAGTAAAGGATATTGGGTCATGCTTCAAATTGACTGCAATCTACCAACAAAAAAAAAACTAAAGACGTTCTAGGATTAGATTAGTTTTTTAGTAGCTTTAACCTCTCTTTTTATATCAATCAAGAGGATATATATATATAGCGAAAGGTACATTTGAACGTATAAGACCACAATTTAGAAATAAGTTCAGAAAAATTACATTTCGTGAACATACAATAACTAGAGGCTATAAGGAGCATGTATCGCTCACCTGTCATAAAATAATACAGCGCAACGCATATGTTTCTCAATAACTCTTACAAGGTTTCGACTGATAATATCTGTTATTGGATTCATTCTCAATCTTATTTTGCTGCTTACTTTAGTTAGTAAGGATCGTTTAACGTCATTCGCATTAACTAATGTTACAAGTCGGACTGAAACAGTTTCTCCGTTTCCCACTATAGTTTCTGATAAAAATGCCAAAACGAATACAAAATCGTATTTAAAGGGCAATTTCTCTATAAGGAGTTAATTGACAATTTAGTCTTGTTGACTTGTTTGTCATTAAAGGGTAACA